TATCATATATGGTATCTGTATCTTTCTAGTAAATAAATATGACAGTTCTTTACAATATTTAATAAATATATAGATCTCAGGAATAACATAGAGTATATATTTCATTGAACTATGTATGAAGGTAAAATTATCCATTTACAAATAGTTGATCTCAGATTATTTTTTCGTATTTTTACTTGAATTCTAAAATATCGCATTCATTAAATTTTGAAGGTAAAATTATCAATTTACAAATAGTCGAATTAACGAAAGGGATCTCAGATTATTTTTTTGTCTTTTTACTAGTATTTGAATTCTACAATATCGCAAAAAAAGATCTCCCCATCTTTTTTAAAAATTGAAACCAAATGCATTTTCTTTGCCTTATCGCATCGACCAAAATGATACTGAATGTTTGATGCAAGCACCTTAAAAATCTACAAACTAAGGGCGCCACGTGGTGAAAGCCAGAGACAGAAGGAAACTTCAAGGCCGAAAACCCTTCTTGGACCCAGAATTATCAATATAGGAGCTTGGAACGTAAGAACCATGTACGAAGCAGGGAAAACGGCGCAAATTGCAGCAGAGATGAGAAACTGCAATCTTACATTGCTTGGCATGAGTGAGACAAGATGGATTCAATCAGTACAGTGACGACTTACGCCTTTATTCTGGACACGAAGAAGAAAATTCACCGTATTCTCAAGGAATGGCATTCATGCTATCCAAAACAGCAAGGGAATCTTTAATAAGTTGGGAAGCACATGACCCAAGGATCATTAAGGCATCCTCATCCTCCTATATTATACAATGATATGGTCCAACAAATGATGCAGAGGAAGAAGCAAATGATAAGTTCTACTACAGACTACGAAGCGTTATTGATACCTGTATATAGAGAAAGAGATGTTACCATCATGATGGGAGATCTTAATGCCAAAATTGGAAATGATAACACCGGATATAGTGTGATCATGGGACAACATGGACTGGGCCAAATGAATGAAAATGCTGAAAGATTAGCGAACGTTATTGGTGGTACTTTATTCCAACACAAAAGAATCAACAAAGCCACCTGGGTATCACCAGACCAGATAACTGAAAATCAGATTAGACCATATAATACAAGTAAGAAGTTTAGAAGATCTTTGCAGGATACCGGAGTCAAACGAGCAGCAGTGTAGCCTCAGATCACCATCTACTGACAGGCAGCATCAAAATGAAGCTCAATAAACATGTTTGGGAAATCGAAAAAAAATTAAACATGACGTAAGTGTGTATATTTCTTAGAATCTTGAACAAGGAATATTCATAACAAAATTAGTCTTAGTACCTGTCATCGTCTCAAACGACGGTCCGGAGTCCGCGATATAGCTTTCTCTCTCCCGTGACTGTTTGATCACAAAATTGTCGTAATCTTGAATATGCCAGAATGGGAGAGAATCGTACATTTTGGCCGTGATTTGCGACGATGAGCACATGTACATGCGTATAGGATATAACTTACAATTTTTTTTAAAATTAGAATATTCTTCAGAATAAATACATAAATAGAGTTGAACGTGTCTAACGTTATTGTCATTTTGAACGTATCATATGGTATCTGTATCTTTCTAGTAAATAAATATGACAGTTCTTTACAATATTTAATAAATATATAGATCTCAGGAATAACATAGAGTATATATTTCATTGAACTATGTATGAAGGTAAAATTATCCATTTACAAATAGTTGATCTCAGATTATTTTTTCGTATTTTTACTTGAATTCTAAACTATTGCATTCATTAAATTTTGAAGGTAAAATTATCAATTTACAAATAGTCGAATTAACGAAAAGGATCTCAGATTATTTTTTTGTCTTTTTATTTGAATTCTACAATATCGCAAAAAAGATCTCCCCATTTTTTTAAAAATTGAAACCAAATGCATTTTCTTTGCCTTATCCCATCGACCAAAATGATACTGAATGTTTGATGCAAGCACCTTTAAAAACTACAAACTAAGGGCGCCACGTGGTGAAAGCCAGAGACAGAAGGAAACTACAAGGCCGAAAACCCTTCTTGGACCCATAATTATCAATATAGGAACTTGGAACGTAAGAACCATGTACGAAGCAGGGAAAACGGCGCAAATTGCAGCAGAGATGAGAAACTACAATCTTACATTGCTTGGCATAAGTGAGACAAGATGGATTCAATCAGTACAGTGAGGACTTACGCCTTTATTCTGGACACGAATAAGAAAATTCACCGTATTCTCAAGGAATGGCATTCATGCTATCCAAAACAGCAAGGGAATCTTTAAAAGGTTGGGAAGCACATGACCCAAGGATCATTAAGGCATCCTCATCCTCCTATATTATACAATGATATGGTCCAACAAATGATGCAGAGGAAGAAGCAAATGATAAGTTCTACTACAGACTACGAAGCGTTATTGATACCTGTATATAGAGAAAGAGATGTTACCATCATGATGGGAGATCTTAATGCCAAAATTGGAAATGATAACATCGGATATAGTGTGATCATGGGACAACATGGACTGGGCCAAATAAATGAAAATGTGAAAAATTAGCGAACTTATGCGATTTAACAAACTAGTTATTGGTGGTACTTTATTCCAACACAAAAGAATCAACAAAGCCACCTGGGTATCACCAGACCAGATAACTGAAAATCAGATTAGACCATATAATACAAGTAAGAAGTTTAGAAGATCTTTGCAGGATACCGGAGTCAAACGAGCAGCAGTGTAGCCTCAGATCACCATCTACTGACAGGCAGCATCAAAATGAAGCTCAATAAACTCCCAGGGAATCAGATATACTAGTAACACCAGGTTTCTCCACTCAAATCTAACAGGAGTACAAGATTGTGGGGAAAACAAATACCAAGCCCTACAAGAGGTCGTTGAACTGACAAAAGTTGAAGATCATTGGAAAGGAAAACTTAGTAAAAGAAACCATCACAACAAGCCGCCATGAAATACTTGGAGTGTAAAAGTACCATAATAAAGACTGGATCACAAATGACACTAAAGTACAGGAGAGGAAGGATAAGAAGAAGCAGAACAAGAGCTGAAAAAACAAAAGCACAAAAAGAGTATGCAGAGGCCAACAAGAAAACAAAACAAGGTATTAAAGCTGGGTAGCGAGGTAAACAAGAAAGGCCAGTGAAAGACAAAACAGGGAAACAACTAGAAGGGGAAGAAGAACAAAGAAGGAGATGGAAAGAACATTTTAAAGAACTGTTGAATAGGCTAGTCCACCTAACCCTCCTAACATTACACCAGAAGGCGAAGACCTAGACGTAGACTGGGGACCCGCTTTTAAGGAGGAAATCATAATAGCCTTAAGACAGATGAGGAATGGCAAGTCAGCAGGGCCTGATAATATTCCCGCCGAGGCACTTAAAGCTTACAACTCAACCAACATACTGCACCCACTTTTTCTGAAAATATGGGAGGCAGAAACAATTCCAGATGAATGGGACGAAGGATACCTAATCAAGCCTCCAAAAAAGAGACCTCAGCAATTGTGCTAACTAGAGAAAAATAACACTGTTGGATGCTACAGAGAAGGTATTCAACAGGATCATACTGAACAGAATGAAAAGGAAGTGACTGATAAGTTAGGTGACCAACAAGCTGGATTTCGTAAAAATACTAAATCTTGTACGGACCAGATAGCACCGCTACGCATTATCATCGAGCAATGTGCTGAATAAAACTCCGTCTATGTAGGCTTCATAGATTACAAGAAAGCCTTTGACAGTGTTGACAGGGAGACAATATGGATACTTCTGCGACATAATGGAGTTCCTTGTTAACTGGTAAAAATCATCCGCAGCTCTTATAAAGACTTGACAAGCAAGTTCATGCATGGAGGACAACTGACGGAACCACCTGTAAAACAGGAGTTCGTCAGGGATTTCTTTTATCACACTTTCTGTTTTTTCTTGCAATAGACTGGATTATGAAATCATCCATAGACAATGGAAGAAATGGATTACAGTGGACATCATGGTCACAGCTAGACGACTTAGACTTTGCGAATGACCTGGCACTCCTATTACATACCCAGGTACAAATGCAGGAGAAAATTACAATAGTGGTAGAGACATCAGCACAGATAGTACTCAACATCAATATCGCAAAAACAAAGATCCTAAGAGCATACACCATCACATGCTTCATTAAATATAGAAGGTCAGGAAATAGAGGAAGTAGAACATTTCACCTATCTTGGCAGTATAGTGGACCAACAAGGAGGAACAGAAGTTGACATAAAGGCAAGAAAAGGAAAGGTCAGAATAGCATTCCAGGAACTTGGAAACATCTTGAAGACCAAGGGAATAACAACATGCACCAAAGGTTTTTTTAACAACAATGTCAAGGCTGTGCTTCTCTATGGTTCTGAGACATGTAGAATGACCGTTTCCACTATAAACAGGATCCAGACATTTGTCAAATCTTGTCTGACACGCATCCTCAAGATTAGATGGCCCGAAAAATAAGTAACATAAATCTGTGGCAGAGAACAAACCAACCCCCTATAGAAGCAGAAATAATACAGAGAATGTGGAGGTGGATAAGGCATATGCTACGCAAGACACATAAGAACACCACAAGACAAGTCCTGTCCTGGAACCTCAAAGGAAAACGTAAGAGAGGGAGGCCAAAGAATACCTGGCGGAGAAATTTTGAGGTAGACGTTAAAAGAATGGGGAAGAACTGGAATGAGGTAGAACGCATTGCTTAGGACAGAGGGGCCTGGACCCTTGCGGAATCTTGTAAGCGGCCAATGCCTCAATAGAGGTAGCAGGCTAAAGTAAGTAAAGTAAGTAATTACATGCCTCCTTGCAACTTCATTGTTCTGTATTTTATAAAATCAGCAAGTGGACTAAGCAAATTGAATCAACATTCTACATTAAAACTATACATGTATACTTGAATACATATACAGTAAAAGAAACTGTTCTTCATGATTTTTCATTTGGATAATATATTACTTGCCTGTATACCTATATGCACTGTCTGCGAATTCCTGTTAAAATCGTCAGTTGAAATTTTAAATACATTTCTATGAACTTTATCTGTACACTGGTAATCAAATCAAATATTCAAATACACAATCATCTTGTTTAACATTTTTATTGTAATAGAGTTCTCCTTCAAATTCAGTTCCAGCTACTCTGAACCTGACTTTTCCCTTCACCCTCGCGGGCCATTCTCCTCCGGGGGGATTCATTTTCATTTCACAGAGATATTTGCAAGATGGGTCATCCGTATACTGAGGATTTTCTTCTTCAGAAGAGAAATGTGTATAACTATAGGGTCTTTGCGTTTATCAACCCTATCAGCCCCAAATTCATCAAACACCGGAATTTCCTTAAAAGACTTACCATCCGTTGATACTCTTTCTCCCTTTTTGTACACAACCTTGAAGCAATCTTTCACCAAAGTAACTCCCCCTTTTTTATGTATCTTTTCAGCTTTTTGAGTTTTGTCAAATTTTTTAAAAATTGCGAACCCGTAAGTACATTTACAAACTCTTTCTGTAACGACAGATTCTCGCTGTCCGAAAAGTACTGCACCATTCAATACAGCCAGATCCGGATTTCCTGGAGTTTTAATAGTGTATTTTGATTTGTATTTATTACGAAAGTGTTTTCTTATTCTTGCGTCATTCGAAAATCCCCCGATAAGCACAAGGTAAGAAACCTGTTTACATGTCTTTTCGATTTCCTCGATTTTGTTATCAATTTTCTCCAATATTGGGTCTAAGAAAGTTTTGTATTCTTCCTCTGTAATTGTTACAGACTGTTCTGTTTCCGATCTACTTAATTTTTTGGAGACACTTAAAGTGAAATTTCCTTCTGACCTGCTATAACTTCTTTTCTTAAATTCTATTTTCCTTTGGTGTTCTACATACTTTTTTGGTTCATTCTTGTGAAACATTTCAATATTGTTGGCAAATTTTTTCTCAATTTTATGGGTTAAACTTTCATCAAGTGTAGTGCCACCACATGGAACTCCCTTTGGAGATACTAATTGTCGAGTTGTGTTTTCCTGCAGCACTTCTTGAACAGATATATCAATAGTTCCACCTATAATACGATAAAGATATTCATTGGAACAATTTTATTTAATGTACATGTACATATATCTAAACCAGTAAACCTTTGAACAAAATAATATAGAATATTTGATAATTCACTCTACCATCATTAAAAAAAAACTATTTGGACATATGAGTGTGGCATAAAATGACGTTTGCCTTATTCTTTATTGTGGGAAATGATATGTGCCGAGGTCCGAACTAATCATTAATTAAAGGAAATTAAATGATACAATTAAAAACACAAACCTCCTAGATCGAGGAGGATAAATTTTGTACAAGAAGCAATTTCATTTTCCTTCACAAACCAAAGGGCGGCCATTTCTGGTTCATATACCAGGGTCAACTTCTTTCCAGGTATTCCAGCCTGAAGTTTAAATTATATATTTATATATGGCACGCCAAATTCACAAAAATGAGATAAACCTAGTTTCACAATTGATAAACTAGGTTTATCGACTGTAAACTATAGTTTACAAACCGTAAACTATAGTTAACGATTCGTTAAGTATAGTTTTCATCTGTAAAACTATATTTAACGGTCGTTAACTATAGTTTACGAATGCTAATCTAAGTTTATCTGTCTGAATAAAGCGTTAACAATAGATTTTGTTGATAAACATAGATTCACGTTTGTAAACTATAGTTTACAATATATATAGTTTAGAGTTGTTAATCATTGTTTCATAAATCGTGAAACTATATTTATCAGATCGTTAACTATAGTTAACGGTTTGTAAACTATAGTTTACAAATTGTGAAACTGTATTTATCAGATAATCTATGTTTTGCAATCGCAAATGATTGTTTTCGATGTTAAAAATAGTTTACGGTTGTGATACATAGATTTTCGCGTTAACCATGGTTTACAGATGTAAAATATAGATTAACGTTGTTAACTATAGTTTACAGTCCGTAAACTATAGTTTACAACCGATAAACCTAGTTTATCGACTGTGAAACTATGTTTTGCTCATTTTTGTGGATTTGGCGTGCCATATTTATACATTCATATATAAAAAGTATTAGGCATTTGTCTTAAATATGATAATAATAATAAAGGAAAACAAAATGTGTTTGTGAAACACTGATGCCCCGTATGACAGCTTATAGAGAGGGTTGACCTCTCTCAAATGCATGTCAAACTCCAAAGGTCAAGGTCAAATCAAAGGAAGGTCTTGTTACAAGAAATACCCATGTGAAATATGAAAGCCCTGTCTCTAACTGTTCAATATTTATAACCAAGGTTAGAGTTTTTAAAAAGTGAATCAAACTCTTGGGTCAAGATCAAAATGGTTAAATTATTTTTACCACAATATATATACACTTACGAAGGGTGAAAGCTTTAGCTCTAAATGTTTAAAAGTTATGGCCAAGGTTAAAGTGTTGTAAGTTTTGTGAAAGTAGGTCAAACTCCATGGCCAAGAGGTCAAATTTGGTGGTACCCATGGAAAGTTCTTGTCACCAGGAATGCACCTGTGAAATTTGAAAGTCATAACCTCTACCATTTAATAGTTATGGGTCAGGATAAAGTTGACAATAGACAGAAAAATGAAAGAGAAAATGTTGACCTCTTCTGCAGCTTTTCTCATAAAGTTCTTTGCAACATCTTACCAAATAGCAGGTACTGTTAACATCCAAGAAATAGTGTTTTCATTTATATCTGTTTTTCTGTCATTCTCTCTTTCATGTATAGATTGAAGTGCTTGATCCTTCATGCTTCATCCTCCAATGGCTCCTTTGAATACAATTTTTGCATCTACTTTTTTCGTTTCTGTATGATCAAACAATTCCCATTTCTTTCTTTCTTTCAAAAGCTTTTCCTAAAATCGATAAATTTTAATCACTAGTTTTATCCGAGGAAAGTTAATTTCTGTTTATATAAATTTATGTACATTATATACCAAGCATTAAGAAATGGTACTTATAATACCACTTACCTCTTCTTCTTTTAATTTCATTTTAAAACATTTGAAGAAGTACCAATTTTTATGTTCATCTTCACTTGTGTAACCAAATGAATCAAATTCTAGATTTTCGTTGAATAATATACACGTTGGAGTCTTGTGCAAATACTTTCCCTCGGATTCTTCTGGCCATTCATTTATGTGTATTTGTTTATATGGTTCATTTTCTGCAGTTGCGAATCCGGAGTAAGTGGTTCCAAAGTCTATGGCGACGACATAATTTGATTCTCTATTAGAGAAAGCAAGAAAAAAAAATCCAAGGTTTTTAAAAATACATTTTCAGGGCTAATAATTCGCTCCAGAACTGTAGTTATGTACTTAAGAAAATTCAGTCAGTTAAATCAGAATCTTTTTCAATTTACGCAGCGTTTCTTTTTTGCGCGCCGAGGGAAATAGTCCTGGTCGAGGGGAACTGGAATCTTGCTAACTCCCTCAATGATATACTAAAACTGTTTTATCATACCGATACAAATTTAAATTGTGAAGATCACCTTTAAAAAAAATCATTTACAGATTAACTAATTATTATTCGTCGCAAATACCAAATTAGAAGAAAGCTATTACCTAATTCTATTGCAATCATTGCATTCTGTTTGTTGTTTACGTCTAATTTTGGTGCTATAACCGCGAATTAGCATGACTAGCTTTCGACCGAGGGATTAGGTAAAAAAAAAAAAAAACTAACGCACGGCGATTAGCCGATTCACAGCGATTTCTAGGGAATTGTTCAGATCTAATCACAGTTTTATATAGGGAAAATCAGTAGAGGTATAATAATAATCGTTATGTCCGTCTAGCTGTACGCTTGTCTGTTACGCTTTGGGGTACTTATCCCTATATCTGTAACTCCTCTCATACCACTGAATGAAATTTGATGAAACTTTCACAGAATTTTCTGTATAAATGATGGTTCTCACGAAAAGTACAGCATTAAACAGGTGCATTTTTTTAAATATGCAAAATAGTTGATATTTTTTTTTCTCAAAAAATATATTTTTTTTAAATATTTGTTTCCAAATAATAGTTTTTTAAATGTTAATCAATAATATATTTATTGGTATATACTGTAAAACTTTTAACTTTATACCTCACTTAGATTTAGAGCTATTGCAAAAATAATTTTTGAAACATCTTGACCTTTGGCATGCGCAAACCTGAAGAATAGTATCTGGTATACAAATTGATTTTTTTTTAGTACTTAACAGTTCTAAAAGTGCAAGTGAAACAGCTTCATTATTTTAATGAAGACTTCGAGACTCTGAGATGTTGCTAGATTCAATAGTACTCTTCTGGATATTCTGGATAAGCAAACGCAGCAATGAATGCTCGTCTGTTTTTTTTCGCAACACTTGCAGTATCGAGCAACACAAAGTGAAGGATTCGTGTCTTCGAACAAAGTTTGCTTACACTGCATGAGGTATAGTTCTGGTTGATTTCGTTTAGTTAAAGAGAATTTATGATCTGCATTTTCTTAAATATCTTTTATATGAAGAGAAGCATGCATTAAAGGGGGTGGGGGGCGAATCTGTGCATTAGCAGAGAAAAATGCTGCATAGGCAATTTGGAGGTTAAAAATCAATCTCAAAATGCAACTTTGAAAAATTTACACAAATATACAGTAGAAAACAGTTAACGAACATCGATTTTAAATTGTTCTCTCATGTAGGTCATGATCAAAACATTTGTTATTACGAATACACCCTTTAATTAAGGCCATTTACACTGAGTTGTCTATAAAAGTTTCCATTTATTTTATTACTGAGATGTAGCGGGTGTGAGCGGTTGACAGGGAATATGTTAGCTCCGTTGTGGCACATAATCTCGCCTTTATAAGAGACCTGTGTTTGTTCTGGTTCCGATTTGTATTGTTTCATTTGATTTTTGATCTTGATCACTGTTCGTTGTCTTCATATGCTTTTATGCTTTCTTTCTCAAGCTACTCTTACATTAAAAGATGTAGCCAGCTTATCCATTTGAATATGATTAGTTGTGCCTTGCAAAAATTATTAAATTATAAAAATTTCACATTGGGATCAAATGGACGTTAAAAAATCTGTTTTTCTACAATATCTAATTTCCCGAACTCTTCGTTTATTTTATAGTTTGGCAGTAGCCAGTTTATATTTTTGTATGGGACTGGGTTAAATTGGAGGAGGAGAGGTGGGGGCAATGGGGTGTAAATATATATTTTTTTTCTGCAAAAATAATCTCCTTAATTTCTCTGACATGTTTGGAGAAGTCTTGTAGATGTGCAATTATATTTTTGTACATAAAATTCGGTTTTTGGGGCGACTGGGAGTCAGAAAAACACCCCCCTAAAAATGCATAGTTTCCTGACCCCCTCAGTTTTTTTTTCAGTTGCCTGATCATATTCTGAAATTTGTTTGATGATGTTCTGTGGCGATATGCAGTACGATTTTGGAATGTAAATGTTCATCCTATCTGTGGACTTTTTTTTATTTTTTGCAAAATCCTGCTTACCTTTAACTCTTTACATTTTTTCCAGATGTTCATTAAGGTTTACAACCACATCTAGATTCATATTATCTTCACCAAAAAGCTTGAAACTTACTGCATAATAATACCTATGTTGCAGATCTAAGTACATTTTCGTGAATGTAAACTTTGAAAATTGGGTACTTACATATACATGTACTTCACTAAGCGAAGCCGCCATTGTTTCCTTTATATCAGTTAGAGTATTGCATTCCATTTTATAAATAACAGTCTCTTCTCAACCAAAACTACCTGTAGTATTGACACACATTTAAATAAGTTGAAAAAGCAAATGTTCTAGTGCTGTCACTTTGTCGTGTCTCAAGGGTGGTAGTGAAGGGGAGGGGGGTCTCGGTGTCTATTTTAAGTCCAGTTGAAAACTGAACATTTCTTAATGTTCATATAATATCAGACTTTTCAATACGCGCCGTTCCTTGGTATTCCAAGCAGTCAGCCCAACAAGTTTTCCTTTGTAAGCTGTTTTTGTTACTTTGGTTAAACGACCGAAAAGCTGCTGGTTCATCAGAAATACATATTGTCAGACTGCTCAATAGAAATCTCCCTTTACGTCATATGATAAACTGGATGAATTTACTTATGCAGCAATATACCTTCAGCATTTGTATACGGGATCTATATATCTCTGATTTGATACGCGAAAATATGCTCTACGTATGAACAATTTTTCTACAACGAGGTAAATTATTGACAAAACAAGTTGATAAAACAAGAATATCATCTGTCAAGTTTAAAGTCATCCTTTCGTAGGTTGTATGGTCGATACAATGATCTTGTCCTTAAATACAATCTTAATTCAAATGCTTACTGAATTTTTTCATACTAATTGTTATGTAATTGAACGCAGAGCATGCCCTTGTTCATCAAATCAACTGGGAGACGTCATCTTCATTTGCAGGTGATAGGTAGTATATTGCTAAGGGAGTTGGCGATCAAAAAGTTTTCACGTTTATCATGAAGTTTTGTTGTTAGGTAGCCAATAACGTCTTTTGTAGTAAAATATTAAAATATGAAACAGCGGTGATTCAAGGTTCTCATGCAATCACGTGACTAGCAGGGCTAAAATTGTGATCTTGGTCATGTTCGGGAAATTGAAAAAAAAATCCGTTGACAATTATGTGTGTAAATAATGTCCTATCGATTAATATAATTATATATATGTATATAAACGAATATATTTAGGGATGGTAATTTGTAACCGGTTAACCGATTACTCGGTCTGAACGATGGTTAGAAAATGTGAAATCGGTTAGTCGGGAAAAAAATTATGTAAATTTGATCATTTTCTTAAAAATTATGTAAATTTGATAGCAATTTTATTAAAATTCATTTACGGAAAAAAAATATCTGCATAAACGTTGTTAATGCACTTTTATTAAATGTATTTTACACATGTGTGAAAAACAAACTAAAATCAATCCGAGCAAAACAAAATTACATAGATAACTTGAGTTTTGTGAGTTTTACAGAGTCATGGATTTTGAATATCGTGAAATAAAAGCTAGCGAAGAAAACTACCATTTGAGATATTTGAAAAACTCCATTACAGAGATTTAAAATCTCATTGTTTTAAAAGTACATGCCTTTTTGAAACTACATTGTACTTTATAAAATCAGTAAGTGGACTAAACAAATTGAATCTACATTTTACAATATAATTATACGTGTACATACATACATGTACATAAAATGTAAAACAAAAAATATTGCTCTTGATTTTTCAGTAGGAAAAATGTTACTTATATGTATTCCTACATGTACTGTCTGCAAACTCCTGTGAAAAAGCTTGACTGGAAATTTTAAATACATTTCTATGAACTTTTTTAAAACTGGAAATTTTAAATACATTTCTATGAACTTTTTTAAAACTGGTAATCAAATCAAATATTCAAAAACACATTTATCTTGTTGAACATTTTGAATGTCATAAAGCTCTCCTTCAAATTCAGTTCCCGCTACTCTGAACCTGACTTTTCCCTCCACCCTCACGGGCCATTCGCCTCCAGGGGGATTCATTTTCATTTCACACAGTTTTTTGCAAGATGGGTCATCCGTATACTGAGGATTTTCTTCTTCAGATGAGAAAATGTGTATAACTATGGGCTCCTTGCGTTTATCAACCCTATCAGCTCCGAATTCATCAAACACCGGAATTTCCTTAAAAGATTTACCATCCGTTGATACTCTTTCTCCCTTTTTATACACAACCTTGAAGCAATCCTTCGCCATAGTAAATCCTCCTCTTTTATGTTTCTTTTCAATATTATGAGTTTCGTCAAATTTCTTAAAAACTGCGAACCCATAAGTACATTTACACACTCTTTCAGTAACGAGCGATTCGTGCTGTCCGAAAAGTACTGCTCCATTCAAGACAGCTAGATCTGGATTTCCTGGGGTTTTCACAACGTATTTTGAATAGTTCTCAAGGAAGTGTCCTCTTATTCGTGCGTCTATCGAAAATCCTCCGATAAGCACAAGGTAAGAAACCTGCTTACATATCTTTTCGATTTCCATGATTTTGTTATCAATTTTCTCCAATATTGGGTCTAAGAAAGTTTTGTATTCTTCCTCTGAAATTGTTATAGACTGTTCTATCTCCGATCTACTTAATTTTTTGGAGACATTTAAAATGAAATTTCCTTTTGACCTGCCATAACTTCTTTTCATAAATTCTATATTCCTTTGGTGTTTTACATATTTTTTTGGCTCATTCCTGCGAAACATTTCAATATTGTTGGCAAATATTTTCTCGATTTTCTGAGTTAAACATTCATCAAGTTTCGTACCACCACATGCAACTCCCTTTGCAGGCATTAATTGTCGGATTCTGTTGTTCTGTAGCACCTCTTGAACAGTAATGTCAATAGTTCCACCTATAATTAAAAAATATATATATTCATTGGAACGATTTTACTACATATCTAAACCATACCCTGATTATATTAGATAAATCTTTGTACAGTATATTTGATAAATTCATGCTTTAATCCGTCATAAAAAAACTCTCCAAAGAAAAAATTCAAACCTGAAGAAAAATTAACAGGCCAACAAAAAATTGACCTTTGTCCAAACATAATAATCTTTTTTTCGGGGGAGGGGGGTATAGGTTCGAACTTTTTCAGTACAATTTTTTTTTTCCAAATTACTACCACTTATTTTTATTTGACTACACTGCAACATGCCTGTTGAAAGGGGGGGGGGCTAAAGCTACGCACCAATCTTTAATGCTCATATTATGTCTATATTTGCAAAAAAAGTGGGGCAACCCTCCCCACCCCCACCCCCCTGTTCCGACGCCTATGTGAAAGGGGTAAGCAAAAATTTAATGTAAGCTTAATCGCTTACTGTAGTAAATTTTGTATGTATCAACATAAGCATATAGTGATAAAATTAAAGACACAAACCTCCTAGATCTAGGAGAATGAACTTGGTCCTAGGAGGAATTTCCGTCTTATTGTCATGCACAAACCAAACCGCAGCCATTTCTGGTTCATACACCAAAGTAAGATTCTTTCCAGGTATACCAGCCTTAAGTTTAAACAATATAAATATTAGTACATGTACATGCATCCACTCGTCATAGAATTATACAGGAAATGACATTGTTAAAAATCGTCTTCTCAAGAAAAGCAAAGCCATGATTGGTATATATTTATATGGAAGATTCCTCAGTTGGTGTAGATTCAAGTTGTTCATTTCATGATCTCGGGGGTTAAAGTGGCAGGCACGTATGTGGCAACGCACTTTTAAAAAAATTTCAAAGTGCGTTAAAATTGGGACAAATTCAACGCACTTTGAATCTTTTTTTCCAAGTGCGTTAAATTTGGGACACACTCGCTGCACTTTGAAAAAATTGTTCAAAGTGTGTTAAGAATGTACATCAACATTTTTTACCATTGCGACATTTAACGCACTTTAAAATAAAATGTTAAAAAAATCTAAACGTAGATTTTAGTAATTGATTTGAATTCAATTTGTAATAATTACTCAGTATATCGTTCGAAAAACATTTTAATTAACATGTATTAAGTTAAATCATAGAGAACAAGGATAAGACAAGTAGAAGGTCTATCAGCCTAACTTTTTTTCTGATACATAGCCGTCGGTAGCAAATGAGAGTGCCCCCCCCCCCCTCCCAAGGAAAGCCCAATTTTTCAATGACTACATTATGTATATCTTTGCAAAACATTTGTTTGCCCCCCTCCCCCGTACCAATGCCTATGCTACACGCAAATATATGTACAGAGTATTTGCATAACTGGTATGATGAAAATTTAGTTTACATAAAATGCATGCAGACTCTAAACCACTAAACCAGAAGTCTATGTCGAGATTGTAGCTCTACTGGTTTGTACTTATAAGGAAGAGAAAAGTAGCAGTTGGGACATAAAACTTTACAAAAGCAATAAATAGAATAATGATCCTTGATTAAGTCTTTTTGTGGCAAGAAAAAACCGAGAAAGAATTATGTATCTTAGTGTAGTCTACTTGTGTGTCAAGTTATATTGAAATCAGACCAAAACTGTAGGAGGAGTAGCATTTTAAGAGTATTTTATAAAATTTCTATTTTTAGTAACCACAGCAACACCGTTCGTTGAAATCAAAAACCGATACACAGAATTATATATCTTACTTTACTTGTGTGCCAAGTTACATTGAAATCAGACCAAAATTAGAGGAGGAGTAGCATTTTGAAAAATTGTTTACAGACAGATGGACAGCTAGACGGACAAACCCAAATTAATATCCCCACTTTTCAAGCAGGGGACAAAAATATATCGATGCCTGGTTGAAATAAAGAAACAGAGGTTGTGATTGTATACTTATATGCATATATTTTGTAAAATTAATTATCATAATATCGGATTTATTATAGTTTTGTACTGGAAATAAATAAAGTGTCCATGCAAAACTGATATTAAATTCTTAATGCACAAAATTAAATAAAAGTTTAGTATAAGAACTAGGATTTTTAGAAAAATGTTAATGTAAATTTATTTAGAAGAAAAAATGTCAATAATCTATAAACTTTTACCATGCATTTTATGCATCAAAGAATAATTCGTTGCTCAATGCATACATGTATATATTTTTAAAAAAATTAAATGATAAAATAGGTACAGTAAAACTCGGTTATAACGAAGTCTTTGGGACCTCTGAAATTACTTCGCTATATCAATAATTCGTTATAATAGAATACAATATTCATTAAATCTATATAGCTGGGGATCCAAGATGACTTCGCTATATCCGTAAATTCGCAATATCCGTGTTCGTACTAAACGAGTTTTGCTGTAATTTATTAAAAAGTTTTTGATTTAACATATTTTTCAAACAAAACAGTCTAATGTAGGTATATTGACGTATTAATTTTATTTGAAAATGAACACTTATGCACATTAAAACCACAGGGGCCGGTAACATACTGTTTTTGATTTTACGTAATCACTATATAATATACAAAAATTTGATTTTACGTAATCACTATATAATATACAAAAAAGGATCTCTTTTTGTATACATATAGTGATTAGGGATGGGTATCGCCAAAAATTTCGTATCGCGATATATCACGATTTTTTCCCACAATATCACGATAATATCATGATATTTCTAAAAGCAGTTTTTACAATGATTTTATATGAAAAGTCATTATTTTTCTAAAAAATATGCTAGAAAAACAAAATTTTACGTTCTTGAAATTTTTATATATATGAAATCAATTATGTTTGGACAGGTAAGATGCCGTTCTTTTCACTTTTTACAACATTTTTTATACTTTCTGCAATTGTAATTTGAAAGATTGAACAAATAAATGAATAATTCCTGGACTTTCTAATATGTACCTAAAAACCGGTATTTAGGTCTCCGTATCACAATACGTATCACGCAACAAAAAATCGCGATATACCGGTATACCGATAAAATCGCGCATCCCTAATAGTGATTACGTAAAATCAAATACAGTATGTTACAGGCCCCTGTGATTAAAACATTATCAAATTAAAGACTAAGATAAAAAAAAATGACCTAGAAATTTTAACTAAAATACAGCTAAATCATTTACCATTTACAAACGAAAAAAAGTTAAGAAAGATCTAATTTTTATTTATTCAGTAATAATTTCACGAAATAATTTTGATTTAAAAATGGCTTCCGTTAATTCAAATTAAAAAAAAATCTAAAACATAATCTAAAATATTTCTTCCATTTATTATTCATTGATTTATCAGCATTTAAGTATATTTTAATTTTTTTCTTGTGATTAACTTAAAACAGACTATAGGTTGCCTGCAATTAATTTCTTTTGTTCTCTCCCTCCCCTTACCTGTACAACATTTCCACCTAGCCAAAACCAGTCACCTGTGTCAATTTCAGAATTTTGGCTAAGTGGGAAGACACCCTTTCACGAAATGGAGGGGACATTAAATCCATCAGTCTGTCAATCTGTCAAAAAAAAATTTAATCTTGGTCCTATCTTTTGAATGTGAAGAGATAGGGCTTTCATATTAAATACGTCTATTACATGTGACAAGACATTTTTAGACATACTATGATTTTTGACCCCATGACTTTGATCTACTAAAAAAATTTCAGACTTAAAATAAGCCATAACTTTTGAATTGAAAAAAGATATCAAACATGTATATTACCTTTGACAAGATCTTAAATACACTATGATTTTTAACCCCATGACCTACTTTTAAAACAAATTAAAGACTTAAAATAGCCATTACTTTTGATTGAGAAGAGATGGGGCTTTCATATTAAACATGTATATTTCTTGTGATTACACTTTCTTAAATACACTGTACACTATAATTTTTGACCTCGTGACCTTGAAGTTTGACCTACTTTTCAAAAACTTAAACCTTGCTCATGACTTTTGAATGCAAAAACAAAATGTTTTCATATTAAATCTGTGAATTGCTTGTGACAAGACCCTTTTTTATACACGATGATTTTTGATCTTGTGACCTTGTCCTTGAAGTTTGACCTAATTTTCAAAAAAAAAAATCCTTATAACTTTGGACTGAGAAGAGATAGGGCTTTCATATTTGACATGTGCATTTTCTATGACAAGATATTTCCGAATGTGCTATGATTTCTGATCCCTTTACATTGACCTTCACGATTGCCCCAATTTTCATAAAAATCAACATTGGTGATAACTTCTGAATGAAATATGAAAGGGCGTTCATATTTGACACAATATACCATCTCACAAAGACACCGAAAGAGGCAAAATCAAATGTAAATTTTAACATAATTCAATTGAAAACGGAGTGTTTACAAGTAAGATTCCTCACCTAACATATGCGATCTGTTATATGATTTTTTGAAGCTGCTTTTCTTTCTTAGTATGGACAAAGTTATGAAAAAAATGTTCACCTGTTCTGCAGCTTTTCTCATAAAGTTCTTTGCAACATCTGACCAAATAGCAGGTACTGTTAACATCCAAGAAATAGTGCTTTCATTGATATCGGGTTCTCTTTCACTCTCTCTTATGCTTGAAAGTGCTTGATCCTTCATATATTGAATGGCTCCTTTGAAAACAACCATTGCATTTACTTTGTTGGTGTCTGTTTGATCATACAATTCCCACCGATTCTTTTCCTTCAAAAGCTTTTCCTAAAATTAATAAAACTAAATTGTTTAATCCAATGAAAATTAATTTATGTTTGTGCATGTGTATGTAGTTATACACAAAGCCTTAAGCAACGAAACAAGTATCACTTACCTCTTCTTCTCTTAATTTCATTTTAAAACATCTGAAGAAGTACCAATTTTTATGTTCATCCTTTGCCTGAAGGTCTGCATATTTGTCTTCACTTTTGTAGCCAAATGAATCAAACTCTAGATTTTCGTTGAATAATATACATGTTGGAGTCTTGTGCCAATTCCTCCCCTCAGATATTATTGGCCATTCATTAACATGTATTGATGAACCTGGGATAATTTTTGCAGTTGCGAATCCGGAGTAAGTGGTTCCAAAGTCTATGGCGACGACATAATTTATCTTCTATTGAAGAAATCAAAATAAAAAGATAAACAAAATATTTTCAGGACTAATTATATGCACTCAATGAAAATCACGTGTTTTGAGGACAGGAGACTGTAGCTCTGCTGGTTTGAACATATAATAAAGGAAGACAGAAGTAGCAGTTGGGACATAAAACTTTATAAAATCAATAAATAGAATAATGATGCTTGATTAAGTCTCTTTTTGTGGCAAGATTGCAAAAAGACTACAACTGTAGGAGTAGCTTTTAATAAAATTTTACAGAATTTTCAATTTTAGTTACCATTACAACATCGTTCATCAAAATCGAAAACACAAAACTGATAATTATGTATCTCAAAGTAGTCTACAAGCATGCCAAATTATATTATAATCAGACTAAAACTGGAGTAGCATATTGAAACTATTTCATAGAAATTTCTATTTTTAGTAACCAAGGCAACACTGTTCATCAAAATAAAAAACTGATATACAGAATTATGTATCTTAGTGTAGTCTACTTGTGTGCCAAGTTATATTGAAATCAAACCAAAATTGTAGGAGGAGGAGTATTCTAAAAGTATTTCACAGAAATTTCTATTTTTAGTATTCAGAGCAACACCGTTCATCGAAATCTAAAACTGATAAACAGAATTTTAGTCTACTTGTGTGCCAAGTTATACTGAAATCAGACCAAAACTGTAGAATGAGTGGCATTTTAAAAGTATTTCATAGAAATATCTATTTTTAGTAACCACGACAATACCATTCATTGAAATCAAAAACCGATACATAGAATTATTACTCAGTATCTTAGTGTAGTCTACTTGTGTGCCAGGTTATATTGAAATCAGAACCAAAACTGTGGGAGAGTAGCGTTTTAAATGTATTTTATAAAATTTCTATTTTTAGTAACCATGCACGGCATTACCGTTCATCGAAATCAAAAACCGATACACAGAATTATGTATCTTTGTGTAGTTTACTTCAATCTTGTGTGCCAAGTTATATTGAAATCAGACCAAACCTGTAGGAGGAGTAGCATTTTGAAAAAATTATGAAATCAGACCAAACCTGTAGGAGGAGAGGCATTTTAAAAAATTGTTTACGGACAGATAGACGGACAGACAGTGTGGACAGCTAGACGGACGACGGACGCATTACTATCGCATAAGCTCTTCTGGTTAATGACCATTAGAGCTTAAAACCGAGCAATACATGTAATTGTATAATATTCCAATTTTGTAGCCACTCTCTGACGTTGAAAGACGTTTTTCATTCAAGACCATTAATATTACACTGAAATCGATTTATCTTCGGATGTTTACATTTTCCCGACCGAATGACAAGGAGCACACGGCGGGTGTGACCGGTGGACAGGGGATGCTTTCTTTTTTAATGGTACATGATCTAACCTCTGTCAGAGGTCTGTGTTTATTCTTCTCCCAATTCGTACTATTTCAATGGACGTATGAACATGATCACTTAAATTATTGATTGTCAAAAACTAGGGAATGAATGCAATAGCTTCTAACCTAGGTTGGGGCAGTTTACGGTTTATACTTTATAAACCATGAAGCGAGCGTTGATCTGAATTTTCGATTTTCACCCTGGGTGATAAGGGTTTGAGAATTTTTATAATTTAATCCTTTTTACTATTAATGAACGTCAGTGCATATAGAGGCAAACACCTAAATGCATATGTACATGTAATATACTCTCTAAAGATAAAATCTGTATTTATCTGTATATATAATTTTCACCAAAATTTTTTTGAAACTATTCTAATGTCGCAGACCTCGAAGCCTCGAAGAATGTATACAAATTGCGTACTTACATGTTCTTCACGAAGTTTAACGCGCGCCATTGTTAAATACTGTTTTCTTCTTATCACGAGAATAATGTATGTTATCCATTGATAACAATGTCTCCTATCAAACAAAACTACAGGTAGTATTGACACACAGGTAAATCAGTTCAAAAAGAAAATGAAAATAAACACAAATATTACAATGCTGTTCCTTATAATTATATAGTCGCGTTTTAAGAGAGGTGAGGTGGGGGTAGGGGTGTCCTGGGAAATATTTTAAGGTCAATGCAATAATTATGCAATAGATTAGTCATTTGATTTCACTTTTTTATGACGTTGAAGGTGATCATCTGAGTAAAATAGTAAAAACTGAACATTTCTTAATGTTTCACATTAATATGGATCATAATTTATTTGTCTAAATGTATAAAGAAATGCGCACGCTAACTCTCGATTCCCGCCAACATTTTGGAACCATTTAATTCAATATAGATTTATAGCAATTTGGCCACAAAATCTTTGTTTAATACAAAGAACAGTTCAATAGTAATTAATGAATTGTCATAATACCAGCGCTAAACAGCAAATTATCCATAATTCTAGCTCTTGAAAAAAGGGGGTAGACGATATTTTCCATTGAAATCGGAGTTTCAAGCATCACCATGTTTGAAAATAAATAAAACATAAATATAGCAATAGAATATAATGTTTCAGTTGTAAATCTCTTTGAAATTGGTGGAAAATAAGCATTTTTATTGTTTTTTGTCAATAAATATATGCCCCCCCCCCCCCCCCCCGTGTCACACAAAAAGCTTTGGTACGAATTCGTGAAATAACATTCCATATTACCTGTAAAAAGGAATTTTTGTGACACCGGGGGGGGGGGGGATGTTTTAAAAATATTTTCCGTTTTCCGTTGATTTCTGTAGTGAAAAACACAAGTTTTACCAACATTTTAAAGATCTCTCTTTGTTTTCCTAAATAAGTAATGTTTTATGAAAATCCATATAATCTATAAAAAAAAATTTAAAAATTCATCGAATATGTTAAGTTTTGAAAATTGACTTGGAGGTAGGCGGGAGAACAATACAATCGTTCTTCCATTGCATCAGAGTTCAGAATTCCCATAAAACCGGGTTTTATTCACAAGAATACATGCATATAAGCTTCGGTATCTACTAGTAATTGTTAATTTAAGTATCCCTGTTTAAATGCATACGTTTAAATTACTAAAGTAGTTTCATATGCATATTTGTTTGAAAATAATTTGGTCGAATCTTAACGGGATGAAGAAACAATAAGTTAATACATCACCGTTTAGATTTGAAGAACATGGAATACAGATGAAGATATGAGGAAATTCAGGGGAGTCCCCCATTTGGAATTGTTATGAATGTGTACCTTGATGAAGTTAAAACAATCACAGTTAAGGTCCCCTGCAGTATGCTATATAGAAGGGGGATGTCGTCCCCGTCTCCAGGGTTTAACTGGCGCATAAAAAAGTCACGCTTGTCATTGGCCCGAGATGACCGCTACACTAAAACCACTGTTACGAGCTGAATGATGGCACCTACGCACCTTCCGTGCTTCTGTAAAAGATTTCATTTATAACATGTAATTGGTTTGTTGTATAAATAGTTTTATTTTTTATGTTATTGATGTTTTTGCAAAGGGCTATTAATGAATATTTAAATTTTGAAATGCGTATCATCCAGAAATTATGTATTATCATTTCTTGATGATATGATCAAATAATGCAACAAAATTTGATCACTGAAAGAATAAAGCGTACGATGTAGTGATATATCAAACTAGCCCCTTTCTCCTCCTCGAGATTTTAAAATATCAATAAAAAAATTAATGTTATAAAATTTATATCTATGAAAAATTATTAATATTTTTAATGCAATAGATGAAACAAAATTTCTTTTGATATGTCAAATTGTTTTCTAATTATTAAATTCTCTGCAATTACCTGCCTTAAAATATTTAAAAGTTCTTCACTGTGAAAAAAAATAACTAGTTAATGTCATGAAGAAAACTAGTAAATTCACTGTCCATACAATCACTACCTTAATAGTAGTTTTACCAGATATTGGTATATTTACTAGATAAGATTAGTAAATTTAGAATTGATGAGTAACTTTCACTAGGTATCTAAGTATCTATACGACCCCCGCTCCACAACTCACTATCTTAACCAGTAAACTGAAAGTTTACTAATCAAGACCAACGCTTTACGAAACACACTAGTTAAATTCACTAGGTTTTTCTTTCAGTGTTCCAAAATTTAAGAATAGAAATATTTATCATCTATTAAAAGAGAACGATTTGGAAGAAAAAATAGCAGTCAATTTTGTGGTACAAAGGCATAAATAGTTATTATTTTTCGCAAAAATTTCAAATGGTATGGTGGAATTAATACTTAAGCATGATACAACATCTCAAATTGCCTAAAAGTGTTCTGACGCAAAGTTTGTTACCCTATACATGTACGTCATTATGTTTATAACGGTAACTTTAAAATATGAATACTTAATTTTTAATGAAAAAGGCATGACTGTTAAGATGGCATTGATATATTTCCTTGTCCCAAAAATCATTAACTACAAATAATTTTTAAACTATTTGCGTTATAAATATTCACAATGAACACTAAATCATTTTCTTTACACTAGAAAGAAGTTGGCGTCAAATAATAAAACTATGATAAGCGTGTAAGCTAAACATACATATAAATACACATTATTCTGTGAAGTTCAAAGAAAACGTCGTAAATGTCAGTAAGGGATGTTGTTTTGTCTGGTCAGTCTTGGGGACGCGGTGGACGAGAGCGCCCCTACAGTGACGTGGTGGCAATCACTGGTTGATGAAAAACTATAAAATAATAGTCTGTACCGAGGTCCAATGCATTCACTGCTTTAGTTTAGCACCATGGCGTGTTGGCTTACAACACTTTGTTTACTCTCTAGTGAGTTTATTTCGACATTTTCCTTAAGAATTTTCTATTTTTCTTTTCAAAAATTTACCGATTTCATTATATTTTCAAATTTTAATTTTACTATTACTTTTCAGGTTTTGCCTGTGTTTGGAGCGGTGTAATTCATAGTACCTCCGATTTTGAAGCCGGTCATGGCATTATTATGGACGATATCGTCAACATTACAAGTTACGATATGGTGAATTTTCCCGAAGAGAATATTACTATAGGAATCACAGCTGAAACCAATGTGTCATCCACTTCATTAGAATCACAATTTGATGGAAATATTTCTGGAAACATAGCAGTTAATGAAAATACTCGTGTCATGCCCATTGAGATCATGGATCCATCTTCAATTTTAGGACACTCGGATATGATCAACACATTAACTGTGTCGCAGAAAAATGAAACTTTAATAGACGTAAACTCCACCGAAAGTGTATCTATAGTTATTGAGTCGACAGGAGATAATACCACTCAGACCTCGACAGAAATCAAGTCGACAGAGAAATTCTCCTCACAAATTCCCTCCGATTCCCCCACTCCAACATTAAGTTCAGTGACCAACTCTTCTCTCGTTGCCAAGGAATTGGTGACAGAGGCTGAACGAGTCAACAACTCAACCACTGAGTCGTCGAATATTGAAATAAACGAAACAATTCTTATGACCGCCCAACCATCTGATACAGGTGGCGTTGAAACTACTGTTCCATCAAACAATTTGGAGACCACAACGGCTGAAGAAAACGGTGCTGCACTAGACGTTACAATGAATACAGTTACAACCACAAATTCTGCGGCAGTAGACCTTTCAGCCTCTCCCTTCATCCAACCAAGCGCTGATGCTGGTCATGTGCAAGATTTGAGGATGTTATCGAATTCAACTGACGGGTTTGATTTAATAATGGACAGTACAATAGACTCTGTCGATATCGGTACTGTCAGAATAGAAACCAATAGCACAGGTACTACTGAAGTAACAAATAATATCGGCACTGTATCAGAAAGTCTCGATCCTCCCTCTGTTGATGCCATGTCATTCAATTCAGGAACAAGTGAACCTGTACAAAGTTCAACAGAGAGTAGTGTTACACCGGTCTCTTCATCAACAGGGTCATTCGAAGGTAACTCTCCAGGAATCACAGAGACGGTCACTTTCGAAACAGCAAGAGGAACAACTCTATCAACGGGCGTTCCTTCAATTTCAGCTGACGCAGAAAATAACAATGTAGGATCTTTGTTATCAACAGGGACGGAGTCTGTGTCAGTGACTACGACATCAATGGACAAATTGATCAACCCTCAGATTCAAACCACTGACCAGGTTACTTTACCAGCTGTTACAGTAACTACAACCATGAGTAATAGTTTACAAGCAACAAGCAAACCAACATTTCCAAGCACCTATTATACAACTGTGATAACAAACCAACCAACGGTTTTAATCACCGAATCTACACCCGTAATAAACAAACCAACAGTTTCAATCACAGATTCTTCATCAATCACTGATTCTACATCAGTAATACCAGACAAACCAACAATTCCAATTACTGATTCTACACTGGTAATAACAAACAAATCTACAGCTCCAATCACTGATTCTGCACCTGTTATAAACAAACCAACAGTTCCTATCACTGATTCCGCACCTATTGTAACTACAGACAGTGTTTTGCCTCCTATCCTTATAAAATCAGTCTCAGCTGAAACTGACGATCAAACCTCAACCCAATACCAAATAGAGTCAACAAGTAATAGTAACAAAGATACGATGGTTAATGTAGAGGTGACATCAGAAGTAACGGGAACAAAATCCAACTTAGAAGCTACTACAGAAACAAGTCAACAGCTGAAGTCAACTAGCAACGGGCCCCTGGAATCAACGACAGAGTCGAGTGCGTCATCGTTATTATCTACAACACTAAAGGGGGCTTTAAGTATTGACTCCGAAAATAATTCAATAGTTTCTAGACCTGAAGCAGCCTCTTTAATTGTGGAATCAACGGCAAATGCCGGTGAAACAAGGAAAACAACAGAGAAAAACACAGTAGTGATGTCGGTGGAGTTACCTGGTATCGATACAGAGACAACTCAACCAGTCACAGCTACAAGTAAGATGACAACAGCACAGTCAACAACAGACAACAAAGTAGAAATAACTGGCGCAATGACAAGTAGATTGACAACCAAGGTCGAGACCACAGTTCCAATGATAAATGATCCAATAACAACAACAACAACAACAGCAACAACAACAACCCAGGCCCCCTCTACAACAACAGTAAGCACGACGCCGAGACCTTGTCCAGTTTACCAGTCAAAGTATAACCGAAACGACCTTATAGTATCCACTGATCCCGAGGGCTGTGTCATGTGAGTACAGTATCTATTTTATTAATTTACTTCTAGCTATATTTGCAACTATTAGAAATGTTTTTTTAAGCATGCAAACCTTCAAGAATTTCACGCTGCATGATTAATACACACAACACAACTCATCTTGGCCATGAAAACGCAGAAAATGTACCGTCTGTGTCTGTATCTGAAAAATTGCAAATGAAGGATAATTTATTGTTTTTGTCTTCTTTACAGGATTGCTAAGATTGTGGACCTTCGAGGTCGCTTCAGAGGACCTAACAGAATGATCTGGAGGAAAATGCACGCAGGACTTCGGTATTTATTAGACATTTTATTTAATTTCCTCAGACACATTCTCTATACATTGTATATCATTTTTTTTAGATTACTGGATTAAGTGATGTACTCTACTGATTTCCTTAATTTTCAGCGGACTGCGGTACCCCAGTGTCTCATTTACGTACAATGGTTCAGAGGACACGGAGGATAAGTGTCAGATGCCGGTAAAATCTGTGGGACCTTATATTGTAGTGGACACCATTCTGGGACGTTGTCAAATGTAAGACCAACTTAATAAAACATAATTTATTTATATAAAAATATAGTGAAACTCGTCTAATTCAACAAGCTCTGGGAGACAGTTTTTGTGTTGTAAAGCATGTAAAAGGCAAGACTTTTTTTCTGCGTTAAGAATATCAAAATCAGTAAAATGATTGAATAGGGGTCGGAAATCACGGTGAACTATTTACACAGATATCGAATGAAACAGTTTGCACTGTGTACTAGTTGACTAACTTTTCATCTTTTCAAATGAAGGTTTTTTTTTTCTTTTTGCAGGGTGGTTGGTCTGAGGAGCGTGCGGGCACCTGTTAATACGCCAGGAAAGAAGGGACAACAGCAGCGGAGGTTTAGGTGGGCACACTAATTCGAAGATTATAAATCTATACATTACTATTTAAAATGAAAGTATCTGTGATAAATATATAGTACTAACTTAGAAAGATGAGATTGTACATTCTGTTTATTTTCTCCAGATTTCGGTTGGTCATGCGTCCAGTGCTGGAGTACCTAGAGACCAATCTACTGTGACGTGGTGATGTGGTGTACAATTAGAGGAGGATTATGCGTCTTGTTTTAAACTATGTTTTGTTGAAATCCATAAAAAATAAGCATTTTCATAAAACTGTGTGTCTACTGTCGTTTTTTTTTTAATTTCTTGAGACCAGTTTGTAAATAAACAAATATTTAAGCGATCTATGTATTTATAATTTCAGATAGCCAAAATTTAAAAGGTCTTGATATCTTTGAAACGCGATTGATTTGAATTTAAGATATCTGAACTAATATAAAAAACAAATAAGCAGCCAAAAAATGCAGACGATGATGATGAGTATGACTGTGCCAAAAAAAAAATCACATTTATTTTTATATATATAAATACGTCCAAAAGAAAAATCTGTATTTCTTGCAGAGCAGAAAAAAATTAAATTCAACACCTTGTAACAAATACATTAAGTAGAAATACATCCGTTCGATGTTCCTTTTGATGTTTCTTTTGCTACTTTTCTAAGCGATTTGCTACTATGGTAATTAATTTTGAGTAACATTTTCTCTCGGGTGAAACACAATATAGGGGACAGTAAGGTTGCACTTGGGGGTAAAAAATTAATGTCTTCGTTTTGCCCCAAAAACATTTTTTGTAAAAAGTAGAGTATCTAAAGGATCTCAAACATAAACGGTTTTGTGAAATTCACATTAGAACTTTGTTTTTTACAAGCTGATAATAACCTCATTTTCACAGGTTACGGACACTACAAGTGTTGTTTTCTTTGAAATAAATATTAAAAACTGTTTATAAGCTCTAATTTTTTCAACTGCTTACAAACAAAGAACATATATAAATACAAAATAAGGATAAAATTTTGACTAAAAAGGAAACATTGTACTTTAAAATTTAAACAGTTCTTACTTCGTACATTTTTGTTCAAAATGGTAGTATTTCATTTCATGTGAACTCTTTAAAACCAATATAAATAAAGAAAAAACTATTTATAAATAACACTTTTTATGCGTTTGGTGAGATATAAATACTTCCATTAAAATAGGACATTTCATTTCTATAAATTTTCTAAAATTATTTGATAGCTTCATTAAGTTGCGGACACTACAAAACCCAAATATTTATGATTGGCATTTGGTTTGTGGTGAAAAAACATTTTATGAACTTCTGAACTATTATAAATCAGATTTAAATGATTATTAAATACAAAGTATATACAAATTAGATATTGTTTCAAGTAAAAACAATTTAAGTGCAGAACTAATGCCTATAGAAAAAAATCCACTTTAGGAAATCCTGAAACTTCCTTCTTTCACATAACTACATGTATTTATTACTGAAGTGCAAAAGAAAAGTTTTATTATTCATTAAAGTTTTATGAAAACTATTTAGAATGTAGATACAATGATCAAATTGAATTAAGTCAATTAACCAAATTTAAGGGTTACGGACACTACACAATACTTTAATTTTTCACAGGTTTGTGGATGAAGTTTTTGTTTTTAATCCCTTTTCCTATCTTTTTTCAGCATTTCATTTCTCATTTCAGTTTCTCCTGATTTTTTATTCTTCAGATCTCAACTTCATCTGTTACAAGCATACCATAACCAATATACTTTGAATAAATATATACACATGTAACTTTAGACAGGTGTTATGTGTAAGTAGAAAAGTCAAACCTTGAAGAATAAAGCTCACTAATATTTCTTCAATTATTTTTTCTTTTCTGTGAAGCATTCTATTTTTCTTCAAACAGTTAAATATACAATACTTTATATGAAATTGGTGTAATTTTAGTTGTTTTCTTTTTTGAAATTATTTGTAGTGTCCGTAACCAAATTACTTCCAAACTGTTTAACATTTTGAATGCAAATTTACGTGCATTTAACACATTTTAAGATTTTACCGAATAAGCAACTAAACAAATTGAAGCAATATTCACAAAAAATATCGGTTATGTAGCTAGTGATAATAATTTCTAACTATTTTTATATGTCATTGTGGGTGTCCAATCATTATTTTAGTACTTGCAGTAAAGAAAAAAAACCACATGATCTAAAAGAATTTCAACTAATAAACACCTTTTTATCTCTAAATTCAATAATACACTGTTTCAAATATTTATCTGTAAATTCTATGGAGAAAAAAATAAAGATATTTCATTTTTCAACTTTTGGTTACGGACACTACACACTCTACAAGTTATTTACAATAGGATAAAACTATACCTTAAATAAAGGAATTTCAACAAGATTTTCTTAAATGTAACACCAGTTGACTTAAACAATGAAAAAATAATGACATGCTATTTGACTTAAATCCTAGGACGTCAATAGCATCTGCCAATATCAAGGTGATGTAACACCAAGGATCTTGTATATAAAAATGGTGCAATCTGGGTTTCCCAAATTAGTTGCAATATCACAATGAGGGAGAAAAATAAAGTACATTGACTAACTTGTTAAACAAACTTCTGACCCTTGCATTAGTGTTTTAACACTGCCTGTTTCAAACTGCCTCAAATTCAGGTTACGGACACTACAGGGTTTTGTAGTGTCCGTAACCACATTTGTAATGAAAACAGACAAACAGTGCTGATGATCAGGAAAATTACAAAACATCTCAGCATCTATATGAGATGCCTATCTAGGAAATTAGTAAAGATATTTATAGAGCTTTCCAATTTCACAGAATGAAAGTGGTTACGGACACTACAGTTTTTTGTAAAACCTTAATTTTCCACATTAAAACATGATGAAATTTCATTTCAATTGTTACATTAACCCAACCTTTTTCTGTAAGTACCAGACCATTTATACTGTGATTTTAGACAGAAATCTGAGAAAATAAATGATATGGACATTATTGTCCCCCGCTTGAAAAGTGGGGGATATTAATTTGGGTTTGTCCGTCCGTCCGTCCGTCTGTCCGTCCGTCTTTCTGTCTGTCTGTAACGCTTTCGTTTCCACACGATATCTCGAGAACCCTTTGAGCTTTTGCAATGAAATTTAGCATAGCAACTCCCTGTAGACTAAAGAAGACCCCTATTGATTTTGAGGTCAAAAGGTCAAAGGTCAAGGTCATAAATAAGCAAATTCTGTCTGTTAAAACAATTTCGTTTCCACACGATATCTCTAGAACCATTTGAGCTATTGGTATGAAATTTTATATAACAACTCCCTGTGGCCTAATGAAGACCCCTATTGATCTTGAGGTCAAAAGGTCAAAGTTCAAGGTCGTAAATTTATACATTCTCTCTGTGTGTAATGTAATGTTCATATCTTAAAATAGTCATTCAGATTTAATGTTTTCCCACGTTTAGGAATTTGCTATACCAGCAGAATGTTATATGTTAAATACAAGTTCAGTAATTGATGTTGACAGTTTCAGCCACGCCGATTTGTGTAATCATTTAGTTATGTAGTTTAGAATTAAAGCGTTAAACCGAGCAGACGTGTTTTCTGTTATAAGTGTCTAGAACACGGACAGTACATTGGCGACGAGGAAAACAATAATGGCAAAGGCATTGCAGTTACCTGCACTTAATCCATTTGATGTAAATGGTGACCAGACAAGCGTTTCCCAAAGGTGGGATAAGTGGAAGAAAACTTTTGAATTTTACATAACGGCGACAGGGATTACGGATAAAGCACAAAAAAGAGCTTTGTTTCTACATTCCGCGGGAAGTGAAGTCCAAGAAATATTTGATACCCTTGGGGAGTCTGGAGATGACTTGGACGGTGCCAAAAAGAAATTAGATGAGTACTTCCAACCAAAACGGAACATAGCATTTGAGCGCCATTTGTTCAGGAATGCGGCACAATGTGAAACAGAAAAAATTGACAGTTTTGTGACTAGGTTGCGCAAACTGGCAGTAACCTGTGAATTTGAGAAGCCAGACGACAACATTCGCGATCAAATCGTTGAAAAGTGTAGATCGTCAAAATTAAGAAAAAGACTCCTAAAGGAAAAGGAATTAACTTTAAAAAGTGCAATGGACATAGCCCGAGCTGGCGAAATCGTAAACGAGCAAGCGGATAGATTCAAGGGCAGTGAAACATTTTCAAGCTCCGATGTAAACACTGTTAGGCCGTCGGTAAGTCACAGGAAACAATACGTTTCTGAGAAAAGTTCGCAGAAAGATGCCACGTGTTTTCGGTGCGGACGGAAGGGCCACATTGCAAGGAACTGTACAATCACTAAGGACAAAACGTGTAACAAGTGCGGAAAAAAGGGTCATTTCGCAAAAGTATGTAAGACTAAATCGGATACCCCGCGCACTAGGCCAGGTAAGGACCGCAGTACAAAGCATGTTCATTTAGTGCAGAGCGAGTCCTCAGATGACGAGTTCGCATTTGCTGTCTACAAAAACGACACAAATGGCATGATAGACGTTAGCGTGGGCGGAGCTAAGATACAGATGCTAATTGACTCTGGCGCGAGCTGCAATATCGTTAACCACAATGTATGGAGCGCCGTTAGAGCTAACGATGAAACAATGTCTCTGTCGAGAAGCACAAACAGATTGTTTTCTTACGGATCAAAGGAACCTTTACAAATACTAGGAACATTTCGGGCTGTCACCAAGCATGGACTGCGTGAAACATATGCAGAGTTTGCTGTCGTTGAGGGCGATTATATTTCCTTACTAGGAAAAGACACAGCGGTAGAGCTAGGAGTTCTACGCATAGGAACCGATGAGTCGGACCTATGCTCCGTTAGAAGCGAACTTGATAGAATTGTTGCCTCAAGAAACTCTGTTTTCAATGGAGTAGGGAAACTGGAAAACTTTCAGCTGGAAATCCATGTCGACAAGACCGTGACCCCTGTAGCACAACCGTTACGACGTTTACCATTTAATGTGAGGAAAAGCGTGCACAAAAAACTCGAGGAGCTAGAGAAGATGGACATAATTGAGAAAGTAAACAGCCCAACGGCCTGGGTGTCGCCACTTGTCGTTGTGCCTAAGAAAAACGGGGAAATTCGAATCTGTGTTGATATGAGACGGGTCAACACTGCCGTTCAACGTGAGCGATACCCGATTCCGACTGTGGATGAAATGCTTGAAGATATGAACGGCAGCACAGTGTTCTCAAAACTTGATTTACGTTGGGGATACCACCAAATAGAGCTAGACGAGGAATCAAGAGAGATAACCACATTTGTGACACACGAGGGCCTTTACCGCTATAAGCGCCTCATGTTCGGAATTTCCTCAGCATCTGAGATCTACCAAAGAGTAATTGGACAAGTCATTCAAGGTATCAAAGGAGTAAGGAATTTGTCTGATGACATTGTAGTCTACGGGACGGATCAGGCGGATCATAACAAGAAACTTACGAAGGTGCTCGACAGACTAGCTGAGAAAGGGCTTACCCTAAACAGAGAAAAATGCGAATTCGGTCTGTCAAAAATTGTGTTCCTCGGACATGTGATTTCATCAGAGGGGGTTAAGCCTGACCAGGAAAAGATCAAAGCAGTATCGGAGACCAGGACGCCGAGCAACAGTTCCGAAATAAGGAGCTTCCTGGGGCTAGCAAACTACTGCGGCCGTTTTATACCAAATTTCTCAACAATAGCTGCCCCTTTACGAGAACTTACAAGGAAGAACACGCACTGGAGTTGGACGAAAAGACACCAGGATGCGTTCGACATGCTAAAAAGAGCGCTCGTGAGTGCCGAAGCTCTAGCATATTATAATTCAAAAGCCGAGACAAGAATAATCGTGGATGCGAGTCCCGTTGGACTTGGGGCCATTCTAGCACAGAAACAACCAGACGGATTGTTTAAACCAATTGCGTATTCAAGTCGAACTCTGACCGACGTTGAGCAAAGATACTCGCAGACCGAGCGCGAGGCTTTAGGTATCGTGTTTGGTTGTGAAAAGTTTCACATGTATATATACGGGCTAGAATTCGAAATCTGGACGGATCATAAGCCGTTGACTTACATTTTCTCTCCAAAGTCGAAACCACCAGCTAGAATCGAGCGATGGATATTGCGACTTCAACCGTATAAGTATAAGATTGTCTATATACCTGGACCAAAGAATGCTGCTGATGCTCTATCCAGATTGAGTCAGAATCAGGCTTGCCGAATACGCCACATTGCAGACGAGTATGCGCATTTCATTGCAGATAATGCTGTACCGAAAGCACTCACTATTCAAGAAGTTCGTCAGAAAACATCGGAGGACCGAGAACTCGTCGAGATTATGAGGAGGATCAAAACAGGGCACGGCCGTCTGGATGCTAAAATTCGTACTGTGGAAACGGAACTTTCAGTCGTCGACGGAATAGTATTACGTGGATCGCGCATCTTACTGCCTAAATGCCTAAGGAAACAAACAATACAGTTGGCCCACGAAGGACACCAGGGCATTGTCCGCACGAAACAAAGATTAAGAGAAAAGGTATGGTGGCCAGGCATAGATACAGAAGCCGAGCGATTTGTTAGAACATGTCAACAATGCCAACTTTTGTCGAACAACAATAGGCCCGAACCAGTTCGAACCACGGTATTACCCGACGAGCCATGGCAGGATCTGGCTATAGATCTTATGGGACCGTTTCCTTCTGGGGAATATCTACTAGTCGTTATAGACTATTTTTCCCGATTTCAGGAAGTAGCCATTATGAAAAAGATAACCAGTGAGAAGATCATTCTTCAACTTGAGAGTATGTTCGCGAGGCACGGCTTACCTTACAGTATGCGAAGCGACAACGGACCACAGTTTGTGTCAGAGGAATTTAAGGGATACCTGAATTCAAATGGTATCAAACACATTCGGACTACACCATACTGGCCACAAGGAAATGGGGAGGTAGAAAGGCAAAACCGAACACTACTCAAAGCCATTAAAGCTGCAAACGCAGAAGGCAAGGATTGGAGACGAGAACTACCCAAGTTCTTACTTGCGTACCATGCGACCCCACATTCTACAACCGGAAAAAGCCCTGCAGAGTTATTATACAATCAGAAAATTCATACCAAGTTACCAGAGATCAGTGCAAGAATCGATCACAAAGAAATAAGAGAAACGGACGCAAGACGGAAAGAGGATTTTAAAATAAGAGCGGATGAGAAGCGCCGCGCCGTACCGTGTGAAATTGAGATCGGTGACACCGTTGTACAACGTCAGCCAAAGCGCGATAAGTTGTCAACCGAGTTCGCTCCTGAGAAGTTCATCGTGAGGGAGAAATGCAGAAATGCAGAGACTCTCGAGGATGAAAATGGATCGTTGATTAAGCGAAACTGCACGGCTATAAAGAAATTTATATCGAGCGACGAAAACGAAACGGAAACGCATGACCCCGAAATTAGCGCAGACGAAACAGGAGACGAATTGGATAAAGACCGTTCTGTCACAGATACCGGTAGACCATCACGGGAACGTAAACCACCCGCCTATCTAAAAGACTATGTGACCACCTGAGAAAAGAAAAGGATTGACTTTTTGTTATTTGACTGTAACTTTATTCTGTATTTGTATAAAGATTAGTTATTGGCATTACAGGCTGTCATTTCAGAAATTATGTAAAGATTAGTTTTTCTGTCTAAGGTGAAGAGGGATGTAATGTTCATATCTTAAAATAGTCATTCAGATTTAATGTTTTCCCACGTTTAGGAATTTGCTATACCAGCAGAATGTTATATGTTAAATACAAGTTCAGTAATTGATGTTGACAGTTTCAGCCACGCCGATTTGTGTAATCATTTAGTTATGTAGTTTAGAATTAAAGCGTTAAACCGAGCAGACGTGTTTTCTGTTATAAGTGTCTAGAACACGGACAGTACTATTATTTCCGGGCGATATTTCAAGAAGATTTTGAGCTTATGCAATGTAATTTTATATCAAAACTCCCTAGGACGTCTCTCGCCCCTCTCAAAGTGCCCCGCCCCGTTTGTTTTATTAGTATTTATAGTACTACATGTCGCTATTTTTAGCGGAGGGGCATGAAGAGAGTTATTGCGTATAAAACAGGTTCTCGGCGGACTTTAAGTTCTTATAGACTTATAACATCTATTAGAACTGTTTAATAAAGGTTAAATAAATCAAACACCATGGATTGTGTAAAATTTTGAGAATACCGAACATGAAAACATGAATATATACATGTATGTGACTTCACTTCTGCATATACTTCTCGCCATGTTAAGCGACTCCGTGGTCTAGTGGATATGTATCTCGCTTCAAACATGAGGGGTCCCGGGATCGAATCTCGGTTGAACCTTTTTTTTTTTTTTTTAAATACTTTTTTTTTTAATAATTTTTTTTTTTTTATACTAAATGATAGTATTCAGCATGTGAAATGAAAAATTTATGAGGTTATAAAATCATCATTACAGTGTGATAAAAATTCCATATAAAAAAATCTTCTATACACATGATGAAGAATAAGCAATCAAATCTTTATATGCATATTGACATACATATATTTTATTTGCTTCAGTATACATGTATACATTTAATAATTCTACAAATTCAGTCAGGGGGAGCCGACTTTTTCCCTAAGCGGGAGACACGAATTCTCTGAATTAGCTTGTTTTTATTTGGCATAATGAGAGGGGTGAAATTATGTCAAAAATGTATAACATTGCACCCCTATTACATTTTCTTTCATATCTTCAAAAGTTGTCATTCAATCCTGAAAATTTAAGCACCGAAATAATTTGTAAAATAAATTCTAAAGTCTGATAATGATCAATGGCATGAAAATTTATGATATATAACAATAATTTCAATTGAAAAATGGTGTAATTTCAAAGCGCAACCGCATAACGCTAAAAAAGGGTCATTTTTGGGGTACATTTATTGCATTTACTTAAATTCTGTTGAAGTTAGATCAACAAAATTTTGCACACAAGTCCTTTATAAGTATGCCTATAAATGAATTATGATAAATTACATGTAAAGAAGTTAACATTTCTAAAAATCGTGTATAACAATGTGGTATTCTTAATGCGCCCTATATTGTGTTTCACCCGTCTATCTGCGGGTCATGGCACAAAAGCTTATGGAGGAAATAGACCCTTCCCTACTTAGCAATGCCCAATAATTTTTAAGGAGTCAAAATTGTCAGTTTTTTTATGTCCATAGTGTAAAGTATGATCCACTGTTTCCATATCAGCAATCATTTCTGAAATCGGGTGAAAATTGAGCTTTTTATGAATGTTTAAAAAAATGCAGAATTCTTACAGAGTTATCCATCTTTTCGAGGAAAATGATGAGAAAGTGTACATCGGCTAATAAAAAGCAGATAATACAGGAATGCTAGATCAAAATAATTTTAGAATATAACCTAGGTACCAGTTAATTAATTTTATCTGAAATTTCATAATAACAGGTGGTCAGTCGATGACGAGCTTGCAGAGTTGTCGTTCGTGAATGTACAAAGTGTGATAACTCTCGAGGATTTCCGAACATGTTTTCGGAATAACTCGGGTTACAAGTAAAACGAAAGTTGAATCCGACTTTTCAAGGAGGAAAACCATTCATTGACATTGTTCAAACGTCAATAGAATCTAGGACAGTTTGAGGAAGGAATTCAAATTGCGGATTTCCTAGCGTACAATATGACACAGACAATAGGAAGAGTTGATAACCCGGTATGTAAGAAGTCAGATATTAGATGTCATGCTCTGCCAGCTGTCTCATGTAAACAACCGTATCCCAATCAGCTGCCAATTCCCATCTCAGTATCTATTGCGTCTTTGATTTTTTCATCTTTTGGCGGGCCTATGTTTGCTGATTTGTATTATTTCCCCCTAGATATTTTGTTTGTCACATAAATTTTAATTTAAAATGCTTTTACCAATTAACCCTAGGTTGACCCCAGGAGGGAAAATAATTTTTGAAAATGTCAAAGTCGTTTATTGAGTTGATGTTAACTTTACCCCCCCCCCCCCAAAAAAAATAAATAAATATAAAAAAAATCAATGGATCTGTTGGCAGGGACTTAAAAAAATTATTTTCAATGAAGGAAACATGTACAGGACACCAATTTTTCTTTTAATTAACGTACACACTACCTAAGCTTAGAATCCTTAAAGCATTACTTTTTTTAACAGGTAGCAGAATGAGGTGACACAGTAACATAATATTTCACTTTAATTATTGTAGCTCTTGCCATTTGATGGAGATATTCCAGGTGGGCTTCAGTCAGGAAAACAAGTCTTCATTCAGGGAAGCATCCCTTACACAGCTGAGGGGTAATTTGTCCCTTGTATTTCAGTAATGTTAAGCAAATTGAAATTTTATTTTTTCATCAGTAATAACTGACTTGTTTACCTTTTCTTGACAGATTTGCGGTTAATTTTAAGTGTGGGAGTGGAGACAGTGCAGACATAGCCTTTCACTTCAATCCCCGCGTCAGTCAGAACTGTGTTGTACGGAACACATTACAGAATGGTCACTGGCAGAAAGAGGAGAGACATGGCGGAATGCCATTTCAAAAAGAAAAACCATTTGAAATCATTTTCTTGGTGCAGGACAGTCATTTCAAGGTATATTTTTTCAAAAGTGCAAGTTGAAATAAAATGTGAATATGCATGTGAGATGAATAATGTGTGTTTGCTTTTGACTCATTACACACACATGTATTATGTTAATTAATTTATAATGTTGATATATAGGTAGCAGTGAATGGAAAACATTTCACAGAATACCAACACAGAATCCCATTACACAGAATACAAAGACTTCAGATTCCACCAGGGGCATCCATCTTCTTCATCAGATATGATGCTCCATATAGTTATTCACCACCCAGTATGAGCTACCCTTCAAATGCCAGCTATCCTTCACAGATGCCAGCTCCTATCTACAACCCTGTGAGTTGTATATTTTCTCTGAAATTAAATTATTTGATAATAAGCAGTACTATATATGAAACTCGGTTTCTTTGGATGATTTTTTTAAAAAAAATGCGTTGGGTACTTCTAGTGTTCGAACATTTACTAGGTGGATCAAAAAAATTAGCTATTGCTATCATATCATGTTTGTATGTTTTAGCCCATCCCATACATGGGCCTGATTCCCCCTTGTGGTCTTCAAGTGGGCAGACTCATCCAGATTTCTGGAATAACCAGAGCAGTAGACAGGTGCTTCATACATATCTGTAATAAATTAATTTCTTAGCAGGTATACAAAAAAAAAAAGAATGACGCATATCCCATGCTTGGCCCCCAAAAAAGATGTGCATTCATATATCAGGATCAATAATCTTTATTATGGATTAGGAAGGAAAATTCTTTAAAAGTCTTCATTTTTAGAACTACTCTGGTGAGCATTATGGCCCATAAGGCTCTTATTTTATGAAATATTTTTAACAGGTTCACAGTAAACATCCAGGAAAGCCCAGCTGGAGCTACTGACATAGCATTTCATTTTGATGTCCGATTCAACTGCGGAAATTGCGTGAATGAAATTATCCGTAACAGTTTGAGCGGAGGAACCTGGGGGCCAGAGGAGAGACATAAGCCGTATTTCCCCTTCAGACCACAGGCCAATTTCGACATGATGATTCTGTGTGATTCTCATGCATTCAAAGTAAGTCATATTTCTATTTTCTATTGAAAATATACATATTGACTTTAATGCTCAGTAGTAGAATAATGCAGATGAAATTAATTTTGGTTGGATCTACTTTAGTTGTTTCCTGTGTGGGGAAAAAAATGAGAAAGTTGAATTTAAAAAAAAAATACATGTATATAATTTCAGAAACTTGTTTCTTAAACCCCACGAAACAAAACGCATGCCTTCATAAATCTGTTATTCAAAGTCCATTTTAATCCATATAACGTACTGTCATATTAACTTAATGTACGAGGGTCATTCAAAAAGTTCGTAGACTTAGCTTTTGTCCTAGCTTTTTTATCTAACGTCATATTATATCCAAATTTGGTACAAATATTTTAACAACAGATTCAAATAATTTGAGTAAAAAAATTGGAATGTATCTTCATATTTATTAAAATTACCAAGGATTTAGAACAGCAAAAATGGGGTCACGGAGCACCGTCAAAATTGAGTAATTTTCTAATTTTCACTTTATAGTATTTACAGTTATACCTCTAATAAATGGAGCTGAAACGAAATTAAATTTACATGTTTAAATAAAGTATTGCTGTATTAATTAAAATGAAATCAGGTTATGTAATATCTCGTTTCATTTAAAAGATATCAGCTTCTAAATACATATGGACTTGATTAAAAAAGGCAAAAAACTATGATGTTGGAGGACGTCACGGAGCAGCAAGTAGCAATAAAATTAGACTTTACATTCAGGAAACTTTTTCTACAAGCTTAAAAAATCCTTATAAACCAGGATCTGTATGAAAAAAAATATGTGTATTTGTATTAAATTGAAAATACAATTTTTGAGTGGTAGCGAGTTTGAGTCGGACGATGGATTGTCTGCAAAGAAACAGGTTAAAATCAAAAATATTGTCAAAAGAGTTAGGAACGTCATTGAATGTGACGTGTGTTTCAATGTGGCAGAAATAATAGAGTCGCATGGTAAATCAAAGAATTTGAAAACAATAACATTCTAATTCAAGCTATATTTGTACAACTGTTAGCAAACTAGGTGTTAAGTGTTGTGGATATGTGTTTTGAATGGAGAAGACGCTACAAACTGTGTTTGAAATAACAAAAATTTGTATACTTTTGACAAATTTTCTCAGCGTTGTTTTTGACGTTACAATATTGGTTAACCGTGCTCTGTGGTAACAAAACATGTTGCTTTAAATTTTGGCTAACATGAGTTCTATTTAATCAAATGGAATGAAACTTCACACTTCGACAAAATAAATGTTTATGTTTACGAAAATGTGTTGATCTATAATCTTGTAATAATCATATGACGATGAGAAGCATTGTCTACGTATTTTTTGAATGACCCTCGTAAATATCTATAGAGTATAGATAAAGTAGCGTGGTAATTTTAATTATCGTTTATTTTACACAGGTTGCTATAGATGGGAAACACTTCGTTGAGTTCCAGCACCGTCTCCAGCCTTTGGGTCGTTTCCAGTATCTCGGTATCCTTGGTGACATCAAGGTCACACAGATTCGATTTCAGTGAGCAGAAGGAAGGACCTGTCTAAAGATCAAAAACAGTACAAAGAACTTTTCATAAAATGTGATTTCTCCACAAAAACAAGAAAAAGTTAGTTCATGCATACTAATTCATTTGGATTAACAATTTATGATCAATTTGCTTCATTTTAGTCATTTAAATCTAGCAGATTTGTATTGCTTATTTTTCTTCCTGCTTTCTGTGTAGTGTATTTTACATTTAACCTTATTTACCTTTTTGCTAATCATATATTGGTTTATTGGATTTTGTCTGCATGTTCAGAGATTTTCTTGCTTATGTGTATAGCCACTCCTTGCCGTAATATAATAGCTCTTAACTGTTTTGTCATTGTTAACTTTGTAACCATTTTCTTGACCTTGGTATATTGGACCATCATCAAATATGGTATTGTACACTGTCTCAAAGTTATATTGGAACAATAATTAATAAAGTAAAAGTTAACAAAGAATAGAAATACAAAAAAATGTAGTTACTTTGTACAGGGACATTTTCACCCACTATTTTATTTTTGCCCCTTTCGTCTTATTCTTAAGTGGTGAAATTTAAAACAGGGGGAATTCAAAGAACACAGTATAAGTTTTTTAAAATAGAATTGTAACTGAGCAAAATTAAAATGAGACAAAATTGTTTGGTAGTGTGAAAGGGCAAAAGTGACAAGGGAAAAATAACTCTGTACATGTATACAGTAAATTTCAAATTTGATGTCTGATTTATATGCATATATATAAATGTATGTTGTGAAATTCTTTATATTTGATTTGTTACGATTCTTAGTAGGCTGTGACAAATTGGACACTTTCTTTTATATTATGGCATTTTAATTCTGCAATGGAAATGAATTTTGATTTTTATATTGATAAAATATACATGTATGAGCATTGGTGTAGAGACCTTAAGATTGAGTACTAATTGTTTTATCTAACAGATAACTAGGTTGTGAGAACTGAATTATCCAGAGAAAATAAAGCTTTTTTGATTTAATCTGTAAGTTTTTGTCACTTGATATTGACCTTTTTTTTGGCTGTACTGTAAAACACACAGAACAGCTTATGCATTGATACAGTCAACTGTCCATTTGTCTTAACAATTTTTCAAGTGCAATAAACTCAAGTTTATTCCACCATTTTTTTTCTGATTGGAATACAACTGAGTGATGCAAAGGTCAACTTAATAAAGATACTTGTTTTAGTATAATTTCAATGCATTGCCTTCATATTTCTTCAAGTTTCTTTAAAATTAAAATTAAAAAAAATTGAAAAAAAATTGAAAAAAAATATGATGAATTCTCGCCAAAGTATGAATAGATGCATAAACTTTCATAAAAATTATCTTAAATAGTTTCTTTAAAAGGAAGCAAAGTGCAAGAAAAATGAGGTCAAGGTCATAGGAAAGGTCAAGTTCAAAAGTTTCTCATTTTTCTTAACATAATTTAGCATTTTCTAAACATAATTTATTGTATTTAATTCACTACCATTGTGAAATACATTTTCATGGAGATCTGCCATATTACTGTGCAATTGTAATTTGAATTAAAATCAAAATACTGTAATATCTTCCATTTTAAAGTACTGATTACATGTAATTTATTATATTGATTATATGATTTCTTGTTTACACAGTTAGTGGATAGATTAAACAGATTATATATTTAAATTCTTTTGTTGTGGTTTATTACTGACAAGTGCAGTTCCAAATACTAGTAAAAGAAATGGAACTGTAAAAGTGAAAAGCACTATCACTGATGATTTTTCAGTACCTAAGATCAAATGATTCAATACATTTGAGTCACCCGCGTGGCGTAGTGGTTAGAATGTTTGCTCTAGAGTCGCGAAGTAAGGAATCAATCCTTACGTCGCGGGTTCGAATCCCACTGTAGGACGTGGAGACCGGTCCTTCGGATAAGACTGTATATATAAACCGAGGTCCCATGTCGCAGTAGGTGCTGGCACGAAAAAGATCCCTCCCTGTTCAATGGCCCCGAGTGCCGAGCATAGGACAAAATTTGCAGCTCTCCACCGGCAAGTGGTGGCGTCTCCATGTGAGTGAAAAATCCTCGAGAGGGACGTTAACAACATAAAATCAATCAATCAATACATTTGACTTTACAGTGGGTAAAACATCTTTCCGATTTTGCTATAAAAGATTATAATGCATGTAAATGGAATGTGTCCAAATCGTTACGAGTCGTTTTTTTCTGACCATACATAAGTTATTTAAACAGGGACGTAGCATCCGGGGGGCCAGGGGGGGGGGGGCCTGGCCCCCCCACTTTTTTCCCCAACATAACCTTTACTATAGTAAATGTTCATTGATAGGATGGTTGGCCCCCCCACTTTATAACCATAGTATAGTGATAGCAAGGATTGTAAGGAAAAAATTGGAAGTGATTAAATTGGCTTTGAAAAAGTTGGCAGGGGAACTTTTTTTTTTTTTTTTGCTTGTCAACTTTTTCAGGTAAGTAAAAAAAATTTTTCTCAGGTTGGCCCCCCCACTTTCAAAAATGATGCTACGTGCCTGTTAAAGAAGGCAGGGGAAGAAACACGGTACAGATGTAAACGGTGTGTTTACAGAAAACAATATTTCTGATCATATATGCAATCAGTCCGAAATATCTGATGTTTTCTAGGCTTTTTAAAACAGATGTTATATTTTACATGCCAGGAAAACGTTTTCCTGGCACATAAAATATCAAAATCTAAAAAAGCCAGGAAAACGTCAAATATTTTGGACTAATATGCGACAAAACCTTTCAAAATCTCAGATAAAAGAATATGGGCGATTAACCTGGAAAATGCCTGTAATTTAAACACATGAGTGACATTTATTTAACAAATACAAATTCCTTTGCAAAAATTTCAGAAAGCATTAATATAAACTTTTATTTTAAATGTCCATAATTTACAGCAATTTCACAAGTGTTAAAAAGTATTTGTCTATGAAATATTATGCACACACATCGAAAAGGGAAAAATGATTTCTTCACACTAAAGCACTTTTTTCTTTCGATATTTATAATTATGTCTTTCTTCATTTTCGGAGAAAAGTATAGCATCAAAGTATCTTAAAAATATACATGTACATTATTTTGCTAAAGAAAAGAATGGAGTAAATACTTACAGTGTACGTACATATGTTTCATGATATACATTAAACATACATAGACACATTTTGCGTTATAAAGTACAAAAAGTTCATTAATATAAACGATAAATTAAAATCTAAAATCATGATTGTTGTATCAAGATGAGATAAGATACCTTTAAATCTTTAGTTGTACCAAGAAGTTCGATTAACGGCCCAACACTATTCATCTTTAAATATCTCAATTCTGTGTCAGTCTTTACAACCTTACAGATGTACATTCATTGGGTATACAAATACAACAATGAAATATCTACGTATTAATAAGCCTTACAGTATATAAACATTTAATTTGTCCTACCTTTGAAGCTTGCGACGAGAAGACATTGATTCAAAACAAAGTGACAAGGCACACCGATGTTTAAGTATTTTGGACTAATATGCGACAAAACCTTTCAAAATCTCAGATAAAAGAATATGGGCGATTAACCTGGAAAATGCCTGTAATTTAAACACATGAGTGACATTTATTTAACAAATACAAATTCCTTTGCAAAAATTTCAGAAAGCATTAATATAAACTTTTATTTTAAATGTCCATAATTTACAGCAATTTCACAAGTGTTAAAAAGTATTTGTCTATGAAATATTATGCACACACATCGAAAAGGGAAAAATGATTTCTTCACACTAAAGCACTTTTTTCTTTCGATATTTATAATTATGTCTTTCTTCATTTTCGGAGAAAAGTATAGCATCAAAGTATCTTAAAAATATACATGTACATTATTTTGCTAAAGAAAAGAATGGAGTAAATACTTATAGTGTACGTACATATATTTCATGATATACATTAAACATACATAGACACATTTTGCGTTATAAAGTACAAAAAAGTTCATTAATATAAACGATAAATTAAAATCTAAAATCATGATTGTTGTATCCAGATGAGATAAGATACCTTTAAATCTTTAGTTGCACCAAGAAGTTCGATTAACGGCCCAACACTATTCATCTTTAAATATCTCAATTCTGTGTCAGTCTTTACAACCTTACAGATGTACATTCATTGGGTATACAAATACAACAATGAAATATCTACGTATTAATAAGCCTTACAGTATATAAACATTTAATTTGTCCTACCTTTGAAGCTTGCGACGAGAAGACATTGATTCAAAACAAAGTGACAAGGCACACCGATGTTTAAGTAAATATTCAAAGATACCTTAAAAATGTGCGGTGAAGGAATTGAAATGACTTGTCAAATTTCCCCCAAAAGAACAGAATGAAAAAGCAAAGGGTGCACTACCTGGATGGCCCAGAAATTCAGGAATTTGACGATGATCTTCCAGAAAGATGGCAGGCGGATGAGGACGGTTCTCCGGAAGTTCCAACAGACGATAGTTACCCGGATGTATCCTATCCGATGTCTCCTGTACCCCTTGATTCAGCTTACGGATACCCAACATCTGGATTCCAGCTAGGTTACCAGGCACCGCCAAGACGACCCAACGAGAAGAGACACCCATTTCATATATACAGACCGGTAAATATTGATTATCTTATATACCGACCAGTAAATATTGATTATCTTATATACCGACCAGTAAATATTGATTATCTTATATACCGACCAGTAAATATTGAGTATCTTATATACCGACCAGTAAATATTGAGTATCTTATATACCGACCAGTAAAATATTGAGTATCTTATATACCGACCAGCAAATATTGAGTATCTTATATATACAGACCGGTTAATATTGAGTGTCTTATATACCGACCAGTAAATATTGAGTATCTTATATACAGACCGGTAAATATTGAGTATCTTATATACAGACCAGTAAATATTGAGTGTCTTATATACCGACCAGTAAACATTAAGTTTCTTAAAGAAATATTGCGAAAGGATAGTGAATTTGACGAGTGAAATTCGTAATTGAAATAAACGAGTTTTACAACCTTGCATACGTCCTTTCGTCAATTTAAAGTTTTTCATCCCTTAAACTTGTGAACTTCGTCATTGAAACAATTGAGTATCATTGATAACCTTGCCTAAAGCCCAAGTGTTTTTGTTATTTTATGTTTTTCACCCCTTAAACTAAATATTTAATTTGTTGAACTGCATTTCAAGACTTTAAATGTAATATTTTTCAATCAAAACATTAAATTTTTGAAATGTTTAAGATAAAATTACATAGAAATTTATCTTTATTATTTTTCCACTGATAAGGCTCTGCCATTCTCAGCCATGGTTCCTGGAGGAGCTACCACTGGGAGACGCATTACTATTGAATGCGTGGCGGGTCACCAAAAGTAAGTCTAGTAGTACTTTAAACTTCAGCTGAACCAAAGAAAAAAAAAAAAGAAATTGACCGTATTTAATTAAAAATTTAAAATTTCTTGCAGCTGTTCAAAATATACTAGAAAGAAGTATCATTTCATTCATTTAGAAATTCATTCACAATGCTTATTGTAAATGCAAATTTCTTGAAAAGTACAGTTATACAGAAATCTGAGAAAGTTCGAAATAATGAGATACCATTGTTTAATCTTTCCAAGACCAAGATCTTCCTACTTAGAATTTTGTTGATTCATATTTAAGATTTTCGGTTCAGTTGACTGACACATCACAAGTGGACGTGGGACTCTTTTTCAACCCAATTATTCACTGGAGAATGGACTCTGGCATTGTCATAATGAACATTCGTAGTTACGGTTGTTGGGGACAGGAGATGAGAGAGAAAGACGATTTTCCTTTTGAAGCAAACAAAACGTTTACAATGGAAATCATTTTTCAGGAGGAACATTATGAGGTAAAGGAGAGAGAGAGAGAGAGAGAGAGAGAGAGAGAGAGAGAGAGAGAGAGAGAGAGAGAGAGGAGTTGATGCTCGTACATTTGATTTAATTAAAATATTTTATAACATAATGAAGACCAAACTAAGGCGCTCATTATCGAGGTTCAATCTATCTTTAAATCATTCAAATTCCCTTACAGAAAGTATGTGTACATTAAAATGCAAGAAAAAAAAACTAAAAAAAAACATTTTAATTTTTAAAAAATAGAAAACTTTTTATTAATCTATATGTTTCTTATCTCCAACATGTTCACTCACATCCAAATCAAGGAATGTATTTTCATATATACATTTCCCATTCAAAAATAAGTTTGTTTAGGTTTTTCTCGTAATGACATTGAGTATGTGCTTGTATTTTTCAGATTAATGTAAATAAACACACATACTTGTTTCCCCATCGACTTCATCCAAGTGAGAGATTCCAGACTCTGGTTATAGAGGGTGATGTTTTGGTTGATCACGTTCAATTCCTGTGAAGGAATAATTTACATGTACCAGTATGTCATAAATGTTCAAAGTACAAGTGTACTAATTACCAAGTGCTTAAAAGTACCGTTGTATTTGGATGTTACGATAGAGGGACACGAATGAAAATTAGGAAACCAAGGTACCGTTCCTGGTATTTTAACCAATACTTTTTTTTTCTTTTATGGAAATGTGATCACTAGGTCTTTGATTGTGCATATGAATATCCTCATTTGAGTTTGAAAAAAAATATTTATATTTTACTCAATACCGGTATGTTATTTAATTTTAATGTCAAACTCTCATCTTTCGGTACTTATGTACTAGATTAATGTAATAAATTTTACAAAACTTTTGCATGAATTCTTATTTACAAAAGACAACTGATTGTTCAGAAGAGACTCTAGTTACAGGATACATAATATGCCGAGTTTCTGCTTGCAGTGATTTCAAGAATTTACTGTCGAAGAAGATGCCAGACCTGACAATTGTGTTACATTAATTAAAGCTCCAAAGTCAATAAAAGCTACTGTTGGAAAGTCGATGGGCACTAAATGTGCTCCTTTATCAGCTGAACTTTTTTTTCTTTTCCTATAAAGCCGAAAATATTTAAAACAACGTCTCTATTAGAAGAATAAAACACTACTTTTCAACTCGACTTTCAGATATCGACGGAGTTTTATCAATTAACTATAGTTTTTTTTCCTTTCAAATGTCGATTCGATATATCACAGTGAACTTTAAATAAAAACCACACGAAGTTTTCCACATCTGTTTCACATTCGAATCTTTTACCGACTATAGACAACAAAGGACATCTAACAACTAAATCGTTTAATAAACGAAATGACATAAACTTTTTCATTGTCAACTTCCCTTTTTTATGTAGTAATATACATGTATATCCTGCATTTCGTGTGTATGTCTCTCAACTTATCAGCTACTCAAGAACATGTTTCGAGTACAATCAGTTTTTTAACCAAGACAATCCTCTCACTTAAAGTTTATATTATAGGGATTTATATGACATTATTAGCAATTTTTACCTTATTCTTGGGTCGTATTTTGGCCGACCTGTTTCATACCAATTGTTAGGTCTTTATTTTTTTACACTAAATTTGACTTAGGAATATTCAGTCTAGTTGACTAAAATAAGGGGGCTCATGGTGGGTGTGACTAGTCGGCGGGAGATGCTTACACCTCTTAGCCACCTGATTTCACCTCTGGAATTTCCGGACGCCCGTATTTATGCCCTGTTTTTAAAGGTGCATTGTTTATAGTTTTTAAGAGGCCGATGGCTGTTTTGTTATCTTCTAAATACTTTTTTCACTACAACAATGCTGTTATGGTATGTTCAAAATGAGAAATTCTTAATTTTAATACACCAATTGGCCACAACTTTGAGATAATAATTGCCATAATATTGAACTTCTTTACAACCGTTGAACATGTTGATTTTGGAAATTTGGTATATACTATTTTTGGTGATATTTTTATCTAGAGCAGTGATATCTAGGTCTAAAACATATAAAAGTAATTGTCAAAAAAGAAGATAATAATAATAATGAAGTAGATTAATTAAAATACTAAAACCCATTTCTGCAAGAAAGTATTAAAATTTTCATTTTTTTTATCATCTTTATAGTGAATTTCAAGGCTTTAAAATAGAATTAAATAAATTTAAAAAACCTTGGATAGGTTGCACAAACTGACAATGAAATTTAAATATACAGATTTATGTCAGATGAATATCTGAATTTTCAAGTTTTGTCTTTTTCACCAAAAATAAATGAATTGCATTCAAATTCAATTTTTACAAACGTTTAATTTTTTTTTAAATTGCTCAACAAAAAATCCAATTATTTGCAGTTTCCGTTCATTTCCTTCACAGCTGTTGCAAATACTGAAATGGAATTTAGTATAAATTTTAAGAATTTTCAGAAGATGAATATAAATTGTTTTATTGCATATCAGTTATTTCAAAATATCGCCCCTAATTTTTACAAAGTAATAACTGGTTTATTTATAATATACCCTTTTGGTTAGAAAAATTCCAAATTTGAATCATTGGTCTTTGCATTAATGTTTTACAAGAACATCTCTTGTTAAACGTGCATTGTAAGTTACATAATTTATTTTAATTTTAAAGAGGCCGATGGCTGTTTTGTTATCTAACACAAATTACATTTTTCACTATTTATAACAATGTTTTCTGTTAAAATTCTTATTGCCAAAATGAGAAATTCCAGTCTGTAATTTTAATACACCAGCATTGGCCACAACTGATTGTGTAAGCTATATTAAAGTTTCATAATACTTAACTGGTGCTGTATTTATTAATTTATTAGTATCAATTATATTTTCAAGCAAAATTTTCCATTTGGAGTTATTGTCATTATTAATATTAATTCCCCTTATCCATGTTCACTTTAAAGCTTTTATATAACAGCCTATATCAATGATTTTAAACCACCGTATGCATATTGCTGAGTATTAACGTTTCTTTTAATTTTATCAACATTTGACTTCCAGGTTTTTCAGGATATGAATAAATGGTTACATATAAGTTACGATATAAGAAGTGATTTTTTGATTAAAGTTAACATCCCAAGCGGTGTTGAGTTTCTTTTACTCCAGTGATCTATAATTGATTTGATTTTAACAAGTTTTTTGTCGGTAATCTTTGCAAGGTCAACATGAATAAGAGGAGAAAATGCTTGTTAAGGTTTAAGATATATTTTATGTTAAATTTCTTTTTAACTCAAAGTTGAAACATTCAAAATCAGTGTAAAAGTTTATTAAGATAGAGAGAGAGGTAGATGATCATTGTGTCGTCAGCATACTGTGTGACATTAAAACATTTTTTACATGATTTGTCTTTATTGTTTTTAATCCATATAATAAAAAAGAAATATAAGTAAGTAAGGGGTAATTTAAAAAACTTGTGTACATAATTAAATTCTTTTGTTTACAGACTTTATAAAAATAACAATCAACACCCGGCCCATTGGGCCTATATGCCACTTTAAACAAAACATATAAACAGTAATTGTCAAAAAATGATGAAAAAAAATAATAAACAAGTAGAATAATTAAAATATAAAAAACCATTTCTGCAAGAAAGTATTAAAATTTTTCATATTTTTATCATCTTTAACAGTGTATTTCAAAGCTTTAGAATAGGATTTAAATAAATTAAAAACCCTTGGATAGATGGACAGGTATTATGACAATGAACTTAAAAATTTATAAATATAATGATTCATTAATATCAGCATAGTGTTGAAGGATTCTGAACTTTGTCCTCTTTGGGTATACATGTAACTTATTCCCTGTTTTGTGAGGAGGAGAATTCTCCTTTTTCATAACGACAGTTTAATGATCGAACAGTGAAATGACCAAACTTTTTCCAAAATCCTTTAAAAATTTTCTGCAGTTAACACATCACTACCCAGGCCTTTATAATTAGACATTTGTTTTAACACCTTTGATGCCTTTCTATAAGATTTTTTCCTTCTAATGCAGAACTTTCATGTTCGTTTAACTTTGGGACATTATATTCTTCTAAAGACTCTAAGATTTAAATTATGATCCTCTACAACTTGAGGCATGTATAATATTTTATAAATAAAATTTCCACTTCTAAGAGAATTTTACATTGTTCTGTTATCTCCACTTGTTCATTATTTTCTGTTTTAATAAGTTTAGGGATTACTTTGTTGGAAAATTTATTTTCAAGATTTAGAAAATAGTTTGTTGGTTTTTCTCCATCACTGATCCATTTTCAAGATTTCCCAGGAAATAGTTTATTTGTTTTTCTCTTTTTTTCCATAATTTTTCTAGAAGATCCATTTCTTTTTCCAGTTTCGATATATCCTGGATTAAATCTTTTTCTCTCTATATATTCTTTTTTTTAAATAACTTCCAAATGATATTGTTTTTGATCTTAATTCCATTTGTTCAGAAATAATTTCTCTTTTTTTCATGTCACAGTCAATTTTTCTAGTAATAGAATACTGAAAATATTTCTTTATTCCTAAAAGTAAGAAAAATATACCAAGCCAGGTGAATATATCCTAAATTGTAAAAATCAGCCTATGTGATATATTTTTTAAATTTTTTCTCTTTATATTCTTTTTTTAAAATAACTTTCTACCGTAATTATATTGATTTTGATCTTAATTCTATTTAAATTGTCTTAAGAAATCACCATTAATAGTCAACTGAATTTCAGAGTTTGGTTTTTCATCTATAGAATTTTCTAGGTATATTGGAACAAAGTATTGTTTTTAAATTACATTAATAAGATTATTTATTAATTCAATATAGTCAGGTTTCTTCAAAAGAGAATTGTTGAATTTCCATAAACCTTTTCCATGCTTTATTTCATTAATTTGAAGATGTTAAACCACTACTGAATGATCTGATCAATAAAATCCTAAGATGTCACATTTTTTTTACACAATTGAAAAGGGAGTTGGAAAGAAGTATGAAGTCTAGCCTTGCCTGTTTTAAAGGATTAAATTTCCTCCATGTAAATCTTTTGTCATCAGAATGACATTCTCTGTAGATGTCCACTAAATTATATGTGTTCATTATCTATTGTCTTGCCCTAGGATTATTCACATGCAAATAATAAAAATAGTCCTTAGCTGGATCTAAAACTAAGGCTCATTATTTAAATTGTATTTTAGAGGAATTTATATCCATTGTTCCCTTTCTAAGGAGGAAATTCTTCAAAATTTTTTGCCAGTTTTGAATATTTTTAATATCCCAAACAAAACGTCAAAAAAATCCTAAAAACATGCATAGCGCTGCGGGTTCCAGTAAATGTTCTCTCAGTCCTCTTAATTTCTTTACTCCTCACTAAAATATTAATAGTAGTGAAGGAAAATTTTCAGGGGTACTGTGTAACAATACATGTATATTCGAGAAGTGATATGTAAATCACATGTGGATACTTAAAAAATCCAAAGAACGTTTGGAAAATTTTACATATTAATCATTTAATTTACCAAAGGCAACACCTTAAAAACTTACTACTTTTGAACTTTATGCAGAACCATTAAGATTAAAATTAAATTAAAACCCAGGTTTTTTGATATAATTAACAACAGCTTTTTCAATAAAAATGCAACTCGTAAATTTACCTTATAATTGGTCATTTGAAAAATTATTTGTTAAAACATTCTGATTATACACACATGTACTCTGAAGTTCACATTAAGATGCATTTCTGATTTACAATACCTATGTAGATTTTTGGAGACCAGTTCTTCCAACAATGTATTAGAATTTCCA